ATTATCTCCAATAAACTACTCTGAAATAGCTAGCAGTGGGGCTGTGGCTCAAGTGGTAGAGGTCTAGAGCAAAAGAAGCCCAGGGACAGAGTCCAGGCCCAGAGTTCAAGCCTCAGAACCCGCAAAAAATGAGAAAAAAAATACATATATACATATGTATGCATAATTGTTTAAATCAAAACATTGAGAACTAATTTGGTGGAGGTAGGAATCCAATCATAGTAAGAGATAATAGCAAGATATAAGCCAGTTATTTTTCTTGCAGAGAAGTTATTTCCTGTTTCACTTTGAAGTTAGACTTGGGTCATAGTAGATTGGATCATCCCTCTGTGTCTTTAGCCTCTGCTCAGACACAGATGTTGGCAGGCCATCTCAGCTTGCAGAAAGCTCTGGCTTAAATTTAAATAAGAATTGGTTTCTGACTGGTGCTGGTAGCTCACACCTGTAATCCCAGCTACTCAGGAGGCTGAGATCTGAGGATCACAGTTCAAAGCTAGCTCTGGCAGGAAAGTCCATGAAACTTTGTTTGTTTGTTTGTTTTTTTGCCAGTCAGGGGGCCTGAACTCTGGGGTTGGGCCCTGTCCCTCAGCTCAAGGCTCAAGGCTAGCACTCTACCACTTGAGCCACAGTGCTGCTTCTGGCTTTTTCTGCTTATGTGGAATTGAGGAATTGAACCCAGGCTTGCAAGGCAAGCACTCCACTGAGCCACCTTCCTAGCCCCCATGAAACTCTTATTTCCAATAAACCAACAGAAAACACAAAGGGTGCTGTGGTTCAAGTGGTAGACCCCTAGCCTTAAGCTTGAGGAGCTCAGGGACCGCCCAGGCTGAGTTCAAGCCCCATGACTGACAAAAAAAAAAAAAAAAAAGGATTTTTTTCTAACTTTGCGGCCAGAAGAACCAAGCCTATTGTGTTGTAATCGCAAGTCTAAAGCTGGGCCACTTTAAAAGCTGGCATCTGCCCAGGCCCTTCTACTTCCTGGCTGCTGTAATGAGGCTGAGGGGGCCTACACATCTGGGTTCTGAATGTTGCCTTCACCTTCATGGGTAATGATTTTCACAGTATTTGAAGATTGATGGGTTCCTTTCACTGCTACTGCAGAATTTCTCCTGTACTGCTTAGGGGAGAGGGGTGGGGATGGAAGGACAGCAGGATTGTGGGGTGCTGACCCTGACCTGTCCCTTCCGTTTCTCTGCAGGAAGCTGGAGCTGCCACCTGTGTCTGGACCTGTTGAAGGAGAAAGCTTCCATCTACCAGAACCAGAACTCCTCCTGATGTGCCACCCAGCTCCCCCACATTTCTGAAGATGTTTTTCTCCTCCACCTTGGTTTTCATAACCCCCTTCCCTTCCTCCCCTCTTTCACAAGTCCAGAACCTCGGGTGGTCATGCCAACCTGCCTTTGGCAACAGCAAGTGGAGGTGGCAGCGCTGACCACCTCTGGCCCCAGGCCCTCAGGGAGAAAGGAGCAGCATGCTACCCCAGGGCAGATTTATGGGCCCCGCTTCTCTGTGTTCTCCATGAAGTGCATTCACTCTGCTTGCCTTGGGCCCAGGCCCTGGTGATCACAGGGTTCAAATGATGTTTCAAGTAGAGAGGAGCTCAATTCTTTTGGCCCTGGCTGACTCCCTGCTCTGGTCTCCAGGGTTCCTTCCCCACGATGCTAGCCTGACCAGTCCTCTGCTGGGAGCAGCTGGGAGTGAACAAGCTGAGGCTGCCCTCACAGGAGCTTTCCATGCCCCTTGTGCTGCTGTACCTTGCCTCTTCAGCGCCCCCCGCCCCCCACTCCTACGATCCTCTGTCCTGCTAACAGGGCCCCTTGCCTAAGCCAGGATGTTCTTGGTCACTCGGCTGGCTCTACCCTGTCCCACTGCACCCCACACAGGGAACTAGCAGCTACCCCTGTCCTTCCTGTGCTTGGCTGGCTCACTCACGGGTGGTCTCTGGTGACCCAAGCCTTCCCTACCTTTTCCCCATCTTCTGCCTCCCTCCTTGTTCTCTTTGGTTTTGTGGGGAAAGGGGATGTGCCAGGGTGCCAGGCCAGCAGCTTGGGGGCCACAAGGAGATGTTGGATAATGTGCCTGTTTTTTAACTCGATAAAAAGCCTACCTCCAAAATCCCCTCTTTTTTTTCTTTTCTTTTCTTTTTTTTTTTTTTCCTTCCTGGACCTGGGCATTCAGCCTCTTGCCCTTAACTAGATTGGGAGCCTCCGCCTCCTGCCTGTGTATGATAGTTCCCAGGTCACAGGGGTGCCGCATAGATGTTCCCTTCCCTTGCACGCTCACTAGCAGCTGATAAGGTCTTCACACCCTGATTCCTTGGTTTTCTGCTTAGTGGCACTGACATTAAGTAGGAGGGACAGCCATGCCAAGACACTCTGGACTGGCCTTCCTCCTTCATTGCGGGCAGGCCCTAACTCACCGTCACTTTGGAGTTGAGGTGTCTTCCCCCTCCCCCTTTAGTTCCTGTATTCTAAACATCTAAACATTAGTTTAAAAAAATAAACATTTTTACACACAGCCCTCTGCTGAATGGTTTTATCTCCCAACTCAACTGGTTAAGAGGGCTGTTTCAGCTGGATGTCTGTGGTTCACTACTGTAATCCTACCTACTCAGAAGGCTGAGATTGCCATTTGTAGCCAGCCTGGGCAGGAAAGTCCATGAAACTCTTATCTCCAAGAAATTACTTAGAGGGCTGGGAAGGTAGCTCAGTGGTAGAGTGCTTGCCTTGCATGCATGAGGCCCGGGGTTCCATTTCTCAGCACCACATAAACAGAAAAAGCTGGAAGTGGTGCTGTGGCTCAAGTGATAGAGAGCTAGCCTTGAGCTGAAGAGCTGAGGGATAGCGCCCAGGCCCAGAGTTCAGGCCCCACGATTGACAAAAAAGAAATTACTCAGAGGGCTGGGAATATAGCTTAGTGGTAAGAGTGCTTGCCTAGCATGCATGAAGCCCTAGGTTCAATTCCTCAGTACGTCATAAACAGAAAAGCTGCAAGTGGCACTGTGGCTCAAGTGATAGATTGCTATCCTTGAGCCCAAAGAGGTTCACGAACAGCATCAGGCCTTGAGTTTAAACCCTAGAAGCAGCACACACACACACAAAAGGCTGTTTCATCTAAAATGTTCTTCCTTCGGACAGTGGGTTTAGTTTCAAGTTTGGTTGGTTCTTTTCTCCCCCATTCAAAATTTTTGTTGGCCCCAACTAGCAAAGCAGATACAAAATTGCTTATTTCATTTAACTTACGTAAACTCAAGTTGATAACAATTTCTTGTTATAAACAACAGTGAAGCTGTTTTTATCAATATAAAATTTGGGTTAAAATCAACTTTTATCACCCTGTTTTCTTTTCTTCTCTTTTGTTTTCTTTTCTTTTTGCCAGTCCTGGGGCTTGAACTCAGGCCTGGGTACTGTCCCTGAGCTTTTGCTCAAGGCTAGCACTCTACCACTTGAGCCATAGTACCACTTCCAGCTCTTGTGTATGTGGTACTAAGGAATGGAACCCAGGGCTTCCTACATGGTAGGCAAACCTCTACCACTAAGCCACATTCCCAGCCCATATGCTGTTTATTTCTGTTTGGGGAAAATTCTGCTAAACTGGGACATGTAGATGGGAGTTGTGACAGGTTTTACAATTGACATTGCAGTCCAGAGACAAAATAGGTCCAGAAATTTGATTACTAAATAAAAGATAATCTCAGCAAACCAATGATGTCACCTTGAGACAGAGAAAGCTTTTGCAGAGATAATGAGGTCATCCTCCGGGAAGGGCCTCAGCCTTGCTCATCTGATGCATGGCTAATTGCCTGTGTGCTCCTGAGCCAGAGCAAGACGTGCAGCCAAGACTTCAGCGTGCAGCTCTAAAGCCTTTCCGAATGCATTTTGAAACTTCTATTAAAAAAAAAAAAAAAAAAATAGCCGGGCGCTGGTGGCTCACGCCTGTAATCCTAGCTACTCAGGAAGCTGAGATCTGAGGATCGCGGTTCAAAGCCAGCCCAGGCAGGAGAGACCATGAAACTTCAATAAAAACCCACCAGAAAACTGGAAGCAGCACTGTGGCTCAAGTGGTAGAGCACTCACCTTGAGCTGAAGAGCTGAAGGCCAGTACTCAGGCCCAGCGTTCAAGCCCCATGACAGAGAAAAAAAAAAAACATAAAACTTAGAAAAAGCTTCCAGTCAAGAGGCTACCGGTGACTCAATGCCTATCATCATAGCTATTCAGGAGGCTGAGACCTGGAATATCATGCCTTGAAGCCAGCCTGGTCAGAAAAGTTTTCATGAGACTTATCGCCAATTAGCCACTCAAAAACTGCAAATGGAGGGGCTGGGAAGGTGGCTCAGTGGTTAGAATGCTTGCCTTGCATGCATGAGGCCCTGGGTTTGATTCCTCAGCACCACATAAGCAGAAAAAGCCAGAAGTGGCACTGTGTCTCAAGTGGTAGAGCGCTAACCTTGAGCTGAAGAGCTGAGGGACAGCGCCCAGGAGTTCAGGCCCCACGACCGACCAAAAAAAAAAAAAAAAAAACTGCAAGTGGAGCTGTGACTCATGGGTAGAGCTCTAGCCTTGAACAAAAGAGCTCAGAGACAGCACCCAAGCCCTAGGTTCAAGCCCAATTTAAAAAAAAAAAAGTAGCAAAGAAAATGACAAGGCATAAGAGGAAATTTAGGAAGCTTCATAGAATGAAAAACGTGAGCAGTACAGGTGAGCACCCAGCTGGGAGAATGTGGAGCCTACATTTAGTGCAGGACCAAATATTCGCAAGAAAGGAAATTATATTCTTGAGTATAGAAGTGATCTTTTTGTACGATTCATATATGTGTGTGGGGGTGCTGGGGCCTGAACTTGGGGCCTAAGTTTTTGTGTTTTTGTTTTTGTGTTTTCTGTTTGTTCTTGTTCAAGGCTGGCATTGTAGCACACTTGAGCCACAGCTCTTGGCCTTGGTGGTTAATTGGCATTAAGAGTTGCACAGACTTTCAAGCCTGGGCTGGCTTGCAACTCAGATCTCAAATCTCAGCCTCAGGGGTGGCTAGAATTACATACGTGAGCCATCGGCACCAGGTTTTGCAGCTTGAATCTTGTCAAAGATTTGGCGCCTTGTCAAAAGTAGCCTGGTTGACAGACTCAAGGCCACCAGCGCTGTCCATGGTAACTAGCTTTTGTATGGCTTGAAGCTTGCATCCATTTTATCTTTTCAGAACAATTCCGTGACGGCCTTTAGCCCTGTTTGGTAGACGAAAGATGACAGTCAGGAAGGCCTTGCGGCCCTGAGCCACCTCCGCTGCCCGCATGCCACGTCTAGGCTAGCCAGGGCCAGGTCCGGGTCCCCGAGTCCAGCCGCGCCTAGGGGCTCCCGCTGATCCTGACTCCGCCTCTTTTCCCCCCACGCCAGAGGCTCCGCCTCCAGCACGCCTGAGGAACCGCCACTTTCACGGGATCCAATGAGATGTAGCAGGGGGCGGGACGAGACGCCTCTGAGAGCCAATCTGATTTATCTGGGGCGGGGCTACAGCCGGTCGAGGGCCCGCACCGCAGTCCTCCCCAGCCCGGAGCGATTCTGGCGCGGGCGGCCCGCACCGGGCCTTGCTGTGCGCGCTCTCGCGGCCCGCTGCCCGCAGCCTACCGCCCGCTGCCCGCGCGGTTCCTTGATCCGCTCCGCCCTGGGGGTCGTGGCGCCCGTCCCTCCCTGCTCTGCCATCGCCTCCCGAACAGGGATTCAGGAGCCGGGCTGGGGGCAGGGGCGGGAGCCACGGGACGAGCGCCTGAGGTGGGTGCGGAGCGGGAGGCTGGGCGGGCGGGTCGGCGCCTGGGCCCCGTCCACGGGCTTCGGGTCCCGGTGGGGCGAGGCGGGCCAGGGCGCACCGCCCGTGTCCTGGCCTGCCTGGGTCCGGGGCGCTAGGCCCTGGGTCCGGGTACCCCTTCCAAGCCCCCACCCTTCCCACTGGGGACACTCCACCCCTCTCGCTGCCCGCAGCCTCCACCCCGGTCGCCCTTTGTCGCCTGTGCACCTGCACTCTCGCCCTGCCCTCCCACTTCCCCCAGGCTGCACCCTGGCCCAGCCTGAGCCACCCCGGCCCCCAGCACCAACAGACTCCATCCTCACGGCTTTGTCGGCTGTACACCTGTTCACCTCAACTGTTCATTTGGTCCACCCCAACATTTTCATCGAAATACAGTCCAGACCATCATCCCCATCTTGTCCTGATTGTCCCCTGTACCTGCACCGCCCCCCCCCCCCCCGACCCAGGCCCAGACCCTCTCTAGCCATATTCCTTTGTTCCTTCAGCTGTCCCCTGCACTCATTCATCCTGCTGAACCCCAGCCCGCACTCCCCTCCTCCTCAGACCAGACACCCCTCGCTCTGCGCTAGCACTCCTGAGGCTCCTTTCCAGCCCTAGCCATATCCCTTGCTCTTTCAGCTGGTCCGGTATCTGGCGGCTGCCCACAGTCCAACCACTGCCCTGTCCTCACGGGCTCCACTTTCTCCCATCCCTCCTGGCTTCAGCGCCCGCGAGATCCTCTCCTCTCCTGTCCCCACAGGTGCCCTGCAGGAGCCATGGAGCTGAGTAGCAAGAAGAAACTCCATGCCTTGTCCCTAGCGGAAAAGATTCAGGTGTTGGAACTACTGGATGAATCCAAAATGTCCCAGTCGGAGGTAGCCCGGCGCTTCCAAGTCTCCCAGCCCCAAATCTCCCGCATCTGCAAGAATAAGGAGAAGCTGTTGGCAGACTGGTGTAGCGGCACTGCCAACCGAGAGCGCAAGCGCAAGCGGGAGTCCAAGTATAGCGGGATCGATGAAGCTCTGCTCTGCTGGTACCACATTGCCCGCGCCAAGGCCTGGGATGTGACGGGCCCGATGTTACTCCACAAAGCCAAGGAGTTGGCTGATATTATGGGCCAGGATTTTGTGCCCAGCATTGGCTGGCTGGTCCGCTGGAAACGCCGAAACAATGTAGGTTTCGGGGCTCGCCATGTCTTTACTCCTCCATTCCCCCCTGAACCACCTCCATTAGGCCTCACGCCCCAGGCCCAGCCACCTCTCTCCCTTAAAGACTTCTCTCCAGAGGATGTTTTTGGCTGTGCTGAAGTGCCCTTGCTTTATCGGGCAGTGCCTGGCAGAGCATTTGCGTGTGATCGGATGAAAGTACTCCTGTGTGCCAACAGCAGGGGCACAGAGAAGCGGCGAGTGTTGGTCGGTGGGCTCCAGGCTGCGCCAATGTGCTTCTTTGGGGTGAGCAGTGAGGCACTGCTTGCTTCCTACCACCCGGACCCAAGCATCCCCTGGGCAGAGTGGTTGGCACAGTTTGACCAGGACATGGGGCAGCAGGGTCGACAGGTAGCCTTGTTGTTGGCTGCCCAAGTGGTAGAGGAGTTGGCAGGCCTGCCCGGGCTCCACCACGTGAGACTCTTACCTCTGTCTGCCTCCAGCACGACACCTTCCTTGCCTGGCTCTGTGGTCTGGGCCTTTAAAGCTCATTACCGGCACCGTTTGCTGGGCAAATTGGCCGCTGTGCAGAGCAGGAGGGAAGGTACCTCGCTGCCGGAAGCTGGGGAAGGCATCACGGGGTTGGATGCGTTGCACATGGCCGCGGCAGCCTGGACCAAGGTGCCTTCTCAGCTCATTTGGAGCAGCTTCATTCAGGAAGGGTTAGCTCCAGGCAAAACGCCCCTGGCCCTGGACAAAGCTTCTGAGATGCCGCCCATTGCTGGTGGACTGAGCCAGGAGGAGTTTTCCCACTTCGTGGACTTGGAGGACGAGGAGCCAGGCCCCGGAGTATGCAAGGAGGAGACGGGCGCTGATGCTAAGGAAGGGTATAGAGAAGATGGCTTGGAGCCCCTGCCTACCAAAGCCGACGCTCTACAGGCCCTGGGCACCTTGAGGAGGTGGCTGGAGGTCAATAGCACCTCCCCAGAGCTCTTTGAGAAGTTCTATGAGTGTGAGGCCGAGGTAGAGCGGCTGTGTTGCCTGTGAGGGCCCTGGCAGGGCCCCCGCCCCTGTTTCCCATGGAAACGCCTCTCCAGACAGGGACCAGCTCTTTCCTGTGGAAATACCACCTAGGAAAGGTGTAGAAGGGAGGGAAGTTGGCACACCAAGTCTAAGCTTGGAGTCAAAGCTTTCCAAGCTTGAGAAGAAGCTCTGAAGATGGAGCCTCAGGCTAGAACTTTAGGAGAGAGGGCTGAAAGCATGGCTCAAGTGGTAGAACATCAGTCTGTGAGTGAAGCATCAGACCCTGAGTTCAAGTTCCGGTCCCGGAATTAAATAAAACAGGGAGTTCATTTGGGAAGGTGGAACTTTGGTTTTCTAGACATTGTTTCTATCCCTTAAACTTCATGTCAAAAGCAGTTCTGCTTCTGGAAATAAAGTTTTGTACTGTTTTATTTTATTTTTGTGGTACTGAGTAATCAGAACTCAGAGCCTCATGCATGCTAGGCAAGCACTCTACCACTAAGCCACATTCCCAGCCCTGGAAATAAAGTTTTAAACAGCAAAGAGACCAGGATGTGATTTTCATGACAGTAGAGGAAATCTTTCCATTCAGATTTCAAAAATTGATTTGTGTGCCTTTGGTAATGACCAGTAGAGATCCTCCTCCAGAGGAGGATCAATGGCCTGGACACTGAAGGGTGGAGGCCCCCGGGGGTCACCTTTGTCAGAAGTGATGCTGGGAGGGGCCAGTGGCTCATGCCCATAGTCCTAGCTACTCAGGAGGCTGAGTTCTGAGGATCACAGTTCAGAACCAGCCCGGGCAGGAGTCTCTGAGACTCTTTATCTCCACTAAACTATTTTTTTAAAAAAGCCAGAAGTAAAGCTGTGGCTCAAGTGGTAGAGCACTGTCCTCAAGCAAAAGAAGCCCAGGCCCTGAGCCAGCAAAAAATAAAATTATATATATAGACTAATTGACCTCAGTCCTTGTGTCCAGCAGGAGAAGAATTCAGACAAAACTTGAACATAGTAAAAGGGATAGGGAAGTTCATTAGGAAAGGAATACATTTGCAATGCTAGAAGTAGGTCATCTTGGGGGCTGAGAAGGTGGCTCAGTGGTAGAGCGCTTGCCTTGCATGCCTGAAGCCCTGGGTTCGATTCCTCAGCACCACATAAGCAAAAAGAAAAAAGCCGGAAGTGGCGCTGTGGCTCGAGTGGTAGAGCGCTAGCCTTGAGCTGAAGAGCTGAGGGACAGCGCCCAGGCCGAGTTCAGGCCCCACGACCGGACCACCCCCCCCCCCCCCCCCCCCCCCGCCAAACAAAAAGAAGTAGGTCATCTTTAGGGTAAGAATGACCTTTTATTCTTTGTAGCCCAGGATGGTTTGAAACCCCATCTTCCTGCCACAAACCCCTACTGCTGGGATTACAGGTATGTGCCACCATGCCTAGCCACCAACGATTTCTTAAGCACCCTGATATGCCAGCTAGAATTTTGACATAAGGGGAAAAAAAGAGTTCCTGCATCATGGAGTTTCTTTTTTTTTTTTTTTGGGTCCGGTCATGGGGTCTGAACTCTGGGCCTGGGCGCTGTCCCTCAGCTCTTCAGTTCAAGGCTAGCGCTCTACCACTGGAGCCACAGCGCCACTTCCGGCTTTTTCTGTTTATGTGGTGCTGAGGAATCAAACCCAGGGCCTCATGCTTGCAAGGCAAGCGCTCTACCACTGAGCCACCTTCCCAGCCCTGGAGTTTCTTATTTAAAGGACAGACAGATATGATCGGAGTCACAGAGAGGAGGAGATAACGGGAAAGCATATGCCGGCGGCTGTGCAGTGCCTGCACCTGTAGCATCAGCGCCTCCTGGGAACTTAGTGAAATGCACACCTGCTGAATCAGAAACTTATGGATGGGACTCCGCAATCTGTATTTTAGTACACCATCTTGGTGATTCTGAACCTCAGGAACCTGACCTAGACAGGTACTGAGGAAGTTCTCACTAAGGAAGCAATATAGAACTGAGACTTGAAAGGTAAATGGGAGGCATAAAAGCAACAAGAAGAGCATATGCAAACGTCCTGCGGTAGGAGAGTATCAGATACTTTGTTTGTGTTTGTTTTTGTCCATCTTGGTGCTTGAACTCAGGGCCTGGCTCTGATCCAGCTCAGATATCTTGAAGGAACTAAGAGCAGGTAAAATGCAGGGTAAGGGAAGGAGCTTGCCTTGATCCCTCAGAGTAATGGAAAGTCATTCACTAGGGTGACCTGATCAGGCTTGAGATTCAAGGAGGTAGCCCAGTGGTAGAGTGGCTGCCTAACATGTGCCAGGCATTGGGTTCAATCCTCAGCACTGCAAAAAAAAAATTGCCAGGTGCTGGTGGTTCATACCTGTCGTCCTAGTGACAGGAGGATCATGGTTCAAAGCCAACCTGGGCAGGAAAGTCCATGAGATTCTTATCTCCAGTTAACCACCAGAAAACAAGAAGTGGGGCTGTGGCTCAAAGTGGTAGTGTGCTCAAACAAATTAACTTATATTTCTATTATTTATAAGTATTCATTTATATTAAATTATATTCCTATTAAAATGAAATTATATTTCCAGATTCAGGATAGGACCCTGGTTGTGGTATTAGAATTGGAAAGGAGAGGTAAGATTCCATGAAACCTTGAGAAGGAGGATGAACACAAGTTAGGGGCTCTCATGTAAGAGGAAAGGAGAGAGAGGCGCTCTGAACATCTGGCCTGAGCCAGAGGCTGGGGTGGGGCACCTGTGACTGTCAGCCCTGTGCAGGGCTGCAGCACTAGGGGGCGCAGGGCTCGGGCTCTGGAGCTGGAACATCAGTCAGGCAGCCAGGCAAGTTGTATGACTTCGCACCTATGTGATCTAGGACAAGTTACATAATGCGTCTGAGCCGAGGTCACCTTCCTGTAAACTGATAGACTGCTCTGGGGTCGGGTCTAGGAGGAGCCCCTGGTAAGTGAGAGGGAGTCTAGGTCACCCTGAGGTGAGCTCAGGGTAATGTCAGGACATGGGGCTTGAACTCTCGGCCTGGGCGCTGTCCCTCAGCTCTTCAGCTCAAGGCGAGTGCACTACCACTTAAGCCACAGCACCACTTCCGATTTTCTGGTGGTTTATTGGAGATAAGAGTCTCACAGATTTCCTGCCCAGGCTGGCCTGGAACCATGACCCTTACATCTCAGCCTCCTGAGTAGCTAGGATTACAGGTGTGAGCCACCGTGCCTGGCTCAAGTCTCACTTAGGACCTGAGATGGGGGGGTGGGGGGAGAAGAAAAGTGCTATAGGCAGGCACTCTCAACTTCTATCTCCACCAGAGAGGACCTGGAGATGGCTCAGGCGGCAAACAGAGGTTAGGTGCTCAGCAGACAGCTGTAGTGGCTGGAGGGGGTGGGGAGGGGGCAAGGAGAAGGACCAGCAATGTACTCAGGATCTCAATAAGTGTTTATTGTAGATGTATGTCCCGTCCAGCATTGGGCTTGCGCTGAGACAATCAGATATACAACCTTGAGCACAAAGTGCTCCCAAACGAAAGGGAAAGGCAAGAAACAAGAGTGAGTCGACACAGCAACTCAGAAGCAGCAGAAGCCACACACAGCATTCCTGCTTGTCATCCTAGCTATCAGAAGGCTGAGGTCTGAGGATTGCCGTTGCAACCCAGCCCAGGCAGAAAAGTCTGAGAGATTCTTATCTCCAATTAACCAGCAAAAAGCTGGAAGTGGAGATGTGGCTCAAATGGTATAACACCAGCCTTGAGGAAAAAAAAAAAACTAAGGAAGAGTGCCTTAGCTCTGAGTTCAAGGCCTAGTACTAGTGGGGGGGGGGGGGCCACACACATGCACTCACACACAAAGCAGCCGAGGCAAGGGCTAGCATCAACGTATGCAGGTTGACCGGAGAGCCTAGGATCCCCAAAGTCAGCCCCAGTGGTCTGGAGATAATGCTCTGCCTGAGTCTCAAGGAATCATGTGAGCAGCTAGAGGGATGGTAGAGACCTTGCTTTGATTAACCAGGGGCCAAGGACACCCGGCCTGGGCCTTGTGGTACAGCTTGTTCGTTTCAGGGTCACAAAGCCACGAAGGGGAGGAAAAAAAAAACCTACGGGGAAAGACCTTGGGGGTAGGGGAGGCTCCTGAAGGTAATGGAAGAGCCTGGAAGACTCTGGATTCTGGACAGGAGGAAGACAAGGGGACTCCCCTGGAGAGGTTTGAAAGGCCAGGTGCGATGATCCAAATGCAGTCACCGGAAGTGGGAAGGGCGCAGAGGCTGTGGCCAGTGGAGTCCAGCAGCTCCATCAGAGGGGCGGTGCTTGGGCTCTTGCTTCTGGGAAGCCGAAGTGCTTGAGGTGGGAGTCTCGCTGGAGGCTCAGTGCTACCTTGGAGTGTGGGCTGGGCCTGGAGCGCTGGCTCTTCTGCAGATGACTCCCTGCCTGGCTGGACCTTGGGAGGCGCCTGGCCTGACCTTGGGAGGTGCCTGGCCTAGGAAGGGCCGAGCCACGTCTTTGACCTGCAAACAGGTTGATGGAGCTCGGCCTCCAGTTACTTAGTCAGCAGGGGTCCAGCTGCGGGGTCCCCGCCGGGCTCACTCCCATGCATGCAGCAGATACTCATAGCTGAGGAAGGTGACGGCGTTGACCGGAAAGGCCCGGGCACTGTTGATGGTCAGGCCCCGGAAGAAGACTCCTATCCCCTCCTGCCGGAAGCTGCTGCTCACGCAGTCCAGGATTCCTTTGTACTTTCGCTGCCTCAGCCCATCCATCTGCATCCGGGACTTGATCACGTCAAAGGGCGTGGCTGCAATCCAAGAGGCGATGCCGGCGAAGCCCCCAGCCACCAGCACTGTGGCTGAGCCTGGGGTAGAGCTGGGTCAAATGGGACCAGAATATTCCCCAGCCCCACCTCTTTCCCTAACCCTGCCGTACCCTTACCCCAGCCCTGCGTCCACCTCCCCACACCCTTCCCACATCACTTACTGGGGTTCTGGCCATCTGGTGTGTACTGGCGACACAGCCCCTCGTAGGTGAGGAAGTAGAGGCCCAGGGTGGGGGTGTCCCTTAGCACTAGGGCCAAGGATCCTCGGAACAGCCCGCGGGGCCCATCCTCCCGGAAGATGGTGGCTGCACAGTGCACAGGCCCCCGGTACCGTGGCTGGGGGCCGCCTGGCTGCGTCCTGGGCTCTGTCTGGTTTTGTAGACGGACTTTGATGAGATCAAAAGGAGCCAGGCAGTAGGACTGCGAGGAAAGACACACAAGGCCCCGGGTGTTGGGTAGACTGGTGGCTGCTGATGGTAACAAGAGAAGCCGGGCACTGGTGGCTCACCCTATATATCCTAGCTACTCAGGAAGCTGAGATCTGAGGATCGCGGTTCAAAGCCAGGCTTGGGCAGAAACATCCATGACACTCTTCTCTCTTAACGAGTCACACAAAAAAAGCTGGAAGTGGAGTGAGCTGTAGCAGGCTAGCCTTGAGCAAAAGAAACTCAGGGATGGGGCTGGGAGTGTGGCTTCGTGGTAGAGTGCTTGCCTAGCAGGCATGAAGCCCTGGGTTCCATTCCTCAGTACCACATACACAGAAAAAGCCGGCTCAAGTGGGAGAGTGCTAGCCTTGAGCAAAAGAAGCTTAGGAACAGTGCCAGGCCCTGAGTCAAGTCACACACACACACACACACACACACACACACACACACACACACACACACACACACACACACACACACACACACAGAGGAGAAAGAGCACAACCTTTGGTACAAAGCCCTGTCAGCACTCAGCACCTTCCTCATACCGCAGCAGCCTCTGGGTCCCCAAAGATACGCCTGATTTATTTTCCCAACAGTGAGAGAGGAGGTTTTAATTTTCAAGCACTGGAACTGAGCGAGTTTGTAACCATCAAGCAAAGACCTGAGTCTCTCCAGGTGGAGGTCATGTCACCGGCCCTGTTCTTACTACCAGGCCAGTCTCCCTCCCTGTCCTGCTGTGTGATGGTGCTGGACAGGGCTGCTCTTTCCTGCCTTTCAAGCCCCTAGCCACTGTGGTTCCAATGAAGAGACAAGTAAGTAAGATGGAAGGTCCTAGAACTCTTAACCTTTGTATTGGGCGGTGAGGACAATAGATTCAGTATAGTATTTTTTTTTATTTTTTATTTTGTCGGTCATGGGACTTGAACTCTGGGCCTGGGTGCTGTTCCTCAGCTCTTCAGCTCAAGGCAAGTGCTCTACCACTTGAGCCACAGCGCCACTTCCAGTTTTCTGGTGGTTTATTGGAGATAAGAGTCCAACGGAGTTTCCTGCCTGGACTGGCTTTGAACTCTTATCCTCAGATCTCAGCCTCCTGAGCAGCTAGGATTACAGGCGTGAGCCACCAACACCCAGCTAGATTCAGTATAGTATTATACTATAATATATTGGGTCCTAGGGGGTGAATGGGTGCTGGGGAATAAAGAGGGGGCGAGGTTTGGGTTGAGCAAGAGAAGCTACTGGAACTTAGGTGTTGGGCCCCAAGCTCATGTTGGAATGTCCCTCATGGCTTATGGGGTGTCTGTCTGTCTGTCTGTCTCCTGAGAGGCAGATGAGCTCCGTTTCTCAGCCCTTGATGGGGCTGGTGGCAGGTTCTCAGGCTTTAGAAGGGTCTCAGCAGGCAGGATTGGGGACTAGAGGTCTCCTTTGCGAGACAGGGGCTCCAACTGAGGCTCCAAGGGCTTTGGAGCATGGTGTTCTTGACAGACTTGGGTCCTTGGGTCTTGCTCTCTGCCCCCTGAAGTGTCAAGGTCGCCAGGGCAGGTGGCTCAGGCACTTAGCTGGAGTGGAGAATGGAGCAAGGCCCTGAGCCCTCTATCTCTTTAATTTTATTTATGTATTTTTGCCGGTCCTGGGGCTTGAACTCTGAACCTGGGCACTGTCTCTAAGCTTCTTTTGCTCAAGGCTACTGCTCTACTACTTGAGCTATAGTGCCACTTCCAGATTTTTTTTTTTTTTTTGAGTAGTTTATTGGAGATAAAGAGTCTCACAGAGTTTCCTGCCTGGGCTGGCTTTGAATCGTGATCCTCAGATCTCAGCTTCTTAAGTAGCTAGGATTACAGGAGTGAGCCACAGGCACCTGGCCTCTGTCCCTTTATGATCAGAGACCTCATTCAACTCAGTCCTCCTCTGGGGCCTGAAAGTCCCTCTTGGCTTCCTCCCTTCCCTCAGAAGCTCAGTACCACTGGGCAGAGAACAAAGACCAAAAGCAAAGGATGGATATGACTTAATGATTAATGATATGAATCTGTGGCCTGGGCGTGACTTAATGATTAATGATTCAAATCTGTGGCCTGGGTTTCAGGAGAAGCTGGTGACTCAAAGCTACCCCGATAGTGTAGGCAAAGGCCCAGAGCCAGTGTTTGCTGGACAAATGCCAGGACCACCATAAGACCACGAGAGTGGTTGGGCTCTGAGCTCTGTTGGGATGGTCGGTCCTTGAAGTCAAAGCTCACCATAGAGAGTAGTCTTCCTACAGCTTCCAGGCTGATAGAACCTTCCAGAGGTGGACAAATCCAGTCAGCCAATGGTGGGCACTGGCCGCACTGCCCCCTGCCCAATTCTCTCTGTCTTTGATGTCCGTGACCTGAAAGCCTGGCAAGCCAGGGTCCCCCAGCCCCCAGCTAGGCTTGCCCAGCCACAGCCACGGGTCACCAGAGAGGGCCAGGAGTGGACAGATCGGTTGGCCAGTCACTGGTGCCACCTGGTGTGCGCATGCGCAGGCGTCTCCCTCACCTGCAGGACGCCTGCCGTGCAGCCGGCGATGAAGACGTGGGTGTAATTGAGTGGCTGGCCCCGCCGCTCCTGATGGGAGGTTGCTGTGAGGGCCACGAGGACATTGCTGTACACCCCGAACAGGACAGAGTTGACCACAGCTATGCTGAACATGGGGAAACTCATTCCTTTGAAGAAGCCCAGGACCTGCGGAGTGGCACAGGGGCCGAGTGGCACAGTGGACTGGCACGATGAGGCTCCCCTGGGCTCTTCCAGCCCAGTCCTTCCATGACTGGACCCCACTCTGACCAGAGCCCCGCCCCCAGGAGGTGGGGCAAGTGAGGCTGGTAAGGCCTGCAACTCCATGTGTGGGGGCTGAGCTACCACCTGGTACCCCAAAGGACTCTACCCTTGGGTCTTGTTTCTTCCAAGAGCAGAGCCCGGCTAGCAAGAAAAGAAGCTGGTATCACCCAGCCCACAGCAGGCACCCACCGACTCATGGCGGTAAGTCTTGACCATGCAGTCCACGATGCCCTGGTACGTGCTCTGGGTCTGCAGCCGCACCTAGGCAGGAAGGACAAGGCAGGTTGGGCAGGTAGGCAGGCCAAGGCAGCCAGCTCTCCCCCACCATGGATGCCATCCAGCAGGCGCGGCAGGAGCGAGCCCCCCTCCCCTGCAAGGCAGACCTGATCTTACTCTGGACCCCTGATTTTCGTTTGGTTCCTCTGGTGCCTCTCCTAGACTCACCTTCACTGTGTCAAAGGGGTGTCCCAGGACCAGGCCCAGAGCTCCTGTGGTGACAAAGGTGCCAGTGAGTGAATGCCAGTCTGTGCCAGAGGACAAGGGGATTCAGATAGGAGGAGGCCCGCGCTTCAGGCTCGGCTCCAGCTGTCCTCCCCCACCCCCACCCCCAGACACCAGGCCTGGAAGGTGCTGTGACAAAGGACAAGACCCTGGCCTCTGCCAAGCATGCGTGAGCAGAAAACACTTGCTCGTCAGCGCTGATTAAGGAAAGCATCTCCATCATTCATTCTCCTTGCCAGCGGTGCCCCCGCCTTCCTTCAGCCAGAAGACTATGGCCTTGATTTCAGGCAGTGCTGGAAGCCCTTTCCAGAGTCCTACTGGCTCTACTCCTGGTCTTATCACTGGGGGGACCTCATCCCCAGAAGGCCCCTCTTTTTCTTCTGGGCGGCCTGCTGTCACCAGAAGCTGCCGCTGGGTACACACCCATAGTAGGCCTGCGGCCAGGAGCGCCACCCACAACCAGGTAGGGCAAAGGCCCAAAGGGGAACTTGGGTCAGCAGGTAAAGGTCAAAGGTGAACTTCCTTCTGAGTCCGTCCTGCAAGGTGGCCTGTGACAGGGGGTTTGTGGTTTGGGGTATCTTGGTGGTCAGCCAGCAAGAACTTAGAATACAGACATAGCTTCACCTGCCTGTGCCTCCTCTTTTTCCCCTCCCCAAGGAAAGATGGACGGTTGGACTATAGAAAGGTTTGTGTATCTGTCTGCAATGCTGCTGTCAGTCAAAATCAAACTCCTTTTCTCTCTCTCTCTCTCCGTCTCTCTCTGTCTCTCTCTCTCTCTCTGTCTCTCTCTCTCTCTCACCCTGTCTCCTGCTGCCATAGGATGACACAGGGAGAAGGTCCCTGCCAGAGGCAGCTATTGGACATTGCAGCCTCCCTTCTGGTTCTGGCTGGCCTCTCTCTGGAGACTCAGGACACCTGGCTCCATGGCCCTGCAGGAGCATGGTGACTTTGGCCTTTCCTCCTCCTGTCACTCATCCTCCCCAGGAAGTGATCCGCTCTTGGGAAAGATGTGCCAGAACAAGCAAAATGACTCACCAGAGATCCAACCAGCTGCAAACTCCTCCACAGGCATTGTCTGGGCTCCTGCAGGAACTAGCAGCTTGGACTCCGTAACAAGAGACTGTTTGAAAGCGTAATCCGCCCCCTCCACAGACCCGATCACTTCCCACTAATGTTTAACCACGACTGTAAGGTGAGAAGTGGCTGACTGCCCAGACTTCAGGTAACCAGGAGTGAGGCTGAGCCGACTTTGGCTTAGTGGCCCTGAGCCTGGAGGCCGTCTGTACCGTGGAGGATCTCACAGGACAGGGCGACAGCCATCGCTGGTGCCTGAGCTCCCTGCCTAGGCAGTGTTAGTGTTGCCTCAAAGCTGGGGATGACAATTGGGCCCCAGACTGGTGGGCCCCTTCAGGGCTGACTCAGTGGGTAAGGAATAAGACCCAAACTTCATTCATCCCACAGTAGAAAAGGCCCCTGGCCCGCCTTACCAGGCAGCAAGGCCATGCAGTGGCAGAGTTTGGACACCAGGGGGCAGCCTGGGCCTGCAATGGGCCCACGGCAGCCAGCACAACTCAGGAGAAAGAAACCACTCTAGCAAGAACTCACCGGGTCCTGAGGGCTGGCTGTCTGCTTCTCTCCAGAATTGTTTACAAACACAACCTCCCAAGGCCTCCTCTTTCCCCTACCCCAAGGAAGGATGTGGCTTTGAACTATAGAAAAGTTCATGTATCTGTCTGCAATGGCTCTAGGCTGCTCTCAGTCAAAATCAAAATCCTCTCTTTCTCAGTCTCTCTCTCTCTCTTTCTCTGGCTCTTTCTCTCTCTCCCTCTCTCCTTCCGCCATAGGATAATACAGGTAGAGGGCCCCTGGCAGAGGCCAGCATCTAGATACTGGACTTCACAGCCTCCAAACTGTGAGAAGGAAATGCGTTTTCTCTATGAAATTAAAAAAAAAAAATGAAGGAAAGGGAAGTCAGCTCCTTGCGAGGCTGAACTTGCAGCGTGCCACCCATTCTCCTCTGACCTCACTTCCTACTTCTTGCCCAGAAAACTCCCCGCCTCCAGGACTTTGCCCAGACTCTCTCTTCTTCCAGACACTCTCCCTTTGGGCTCCTTCAAGCTGGGGGCTCAAATGTCACCTCAGGGAGGCCTTCCTGAATCGGCTCATTTACCTCTGTACTCTGCTCTCCTGTCCAGCAGTAGACGCCCTCCTCACTTCAGCCTCTCCTTCCCTCCATTGTGCTAATCATCCACATGCTCTGTGGAGAAGTAGTTGGTTATCTGTGCACTCAAGGATGTCTGGTGGCTTTAGCCACTAAATAGTCCTGGCACCGAGTAGGCTTACCAATGAGCCTTCGAAGAATGGATGGATGGCGTTGGGAATGTGGCTTAGTGGTAGAGTGCTTACCTAGCATGCATGAAGCCCTGGGTTCAATTCCTCAGTACCACATACACAGAAAAAGCTGGAAGTGGCACTGTGCATCAAGTGGTAGAGTGCTAGCCTTGAGCACAAAGAGGCTCAGGGACAGAGCCCAGGCCCTGAGTTCAAGCCCCAGGACTGGCAAAAAAAAAAAAAAAAGAATGAATGGATGAAAAAGTCAGGAAGTAGCACCAATGGTCAGAATTGAGGCTTTCTTTCTCTCCATTACCAAAAGGCCCCAAAATGTAAAGGCTGGTGGGCCATCTGGTGCAGTCACTGAAGCCTGTAATCCTATTTGAGAGGTGCAGATCCAGGATCAAAGTTTGAAGGCCAGCCTGGGGAAAAAAGTTTGCAAGATTCCTTCTTAATTAATGGCAATGACATGCACCTGCCACCAGAAATGAAGGAAAACATAAAGGAGGATCACAGTCCAGGCATAAAATGAGACTAAAAAATAGCCAACTCTGCAGGGCACCAGTGGCTCACACCTGTACCCCTAGCTATTCAGGAGGCTGAGATCTGAGAATCACAGTTCAGAGCCAGCTGGGACAGGAAACTCTGTGAGACTCTTATCTCCAATAAACCACTGGAAAACCGGAAGTGGTGCCTTGGCTCAAGTGGTCCCCATGACTGACAAAAAAAGAAGAGTTGGGATGGAAGCCTGGTTCAAGTAATAAATGCCAGCCAACCAAGCAAGCTTAAGGCCCTGAGTTCAAACACCAGTACCAGAAAGAAAAAAAGTGGGGCGTAGGAGGAAGGAGAGCGATGGGGAGGGGTGAGATGGATGAGGATACGTTGTAAGCATGCGTGGAAATGTCAAAATGAAACACCCTTGTGCAAATACAGTATTCAAATTTTAAAAAGTGAATAATAATAATAATAATAATAGATTCCCCCAGAGTTCTGTACCCTGGCTTCTTCTCCAGTCTTCCAGCAATTCTACTAGGTTCATCTTCCTCCTGGCAGAGTACAGTGCTCCTTTTGTCACTGTCTAGCTCATAACTTCTTCACTGCCTGACAACCCCCATAACACCCCCTTCCCCCCCTCTCTGTTGGCTCTGACAGATCAAGGGCTATGCATGTGTATATACATTTTTTAATTTTAATTTTATTTTACTTGTTTGGTCCTGGGGCTTGAACTCAGGGCCTGGGCACTGTCCTTGGGCTCTTTCACTTAAGGCTAGCACTCTACCACTAGAGCCACAGTGCCACTTCCCCTTTTCTGTTGGTTTATTGGAAATAAGAGTCTCAGGGACTTTCTTGCATGGTCTGGCAGGAAACCACAATCCTCAGATCTCAGAGTCCTGAGTAGCTAGGATTACAGGCCTGAGCTACCACCTGAGCTTGACTGTAATTTTGTTTGGTGCTAGTACCAGGGCGTGAGCTGTTATCCTTAGCCTTTTTGGTCAAGGCTGCCACTCTACCACTTGAGCCACAGCTCCACTTCCAACCTTTATCTAGTTAATTGGAGATCAGAGTCTTATGGATTTTTCTGCCCACTGTGGCTTCAAACTATAATCTTCAAATCTCAATTTTCTGAATATTATGAATAGAATTAGAGATGTAAGCCACCAGCACTCAACATTACATGTGTGTGTATATTACATACATGATACTGTATTATGTTATGTGATATATTGCTATATACATTATATACATTATGTATAATGTATATACATTGTATATATACATTATGTATATAACATATATCATATAATATATACATTATATAATGCACATAATGTATATAGCAATATATAATATATGTTACATAATACACATAGTATATAATTTTTTTTTTTTTTGGTTGTGGGGCTTGAACTCTGGGCCTGAGCGTTGTCCCTCAGCTCTTCAGCTCAAGGCGAGCGCTCTACCACTTGAGCTACAGCGCCACTTCCAGTTTTCTAGTGGTTTATTGGAGATAAGAGTTTCACGGACTTTCCTGCCCAGGCTGGCTTTGAACCGCAATCCTCAGATCTCAGCCTCCTGAGTAGCTAGGATTACAGGCGTGAGCCACCGGCGCCAGGCTAGTATATAATTTTTTTTGTCATGGGGCTTGAACTCAGGGCCTGGGTATTGCTTCTGAGCTTCTTTGCTCAAGGCTACAGCTATACCACTTAAGTCATGGCTTCATTTATGGCTTTTTGGTGGTTAACTAGGGATAAGAGCCTCATAGGCTTTCCTGGCTTTGAACCACAATCCTCAGGTCCTTGCCTCCTGAGTAGCTAGAATTACAGGTATGAGCCACTGGTGCCATCTCCTGGCTTTTCTTTTTCTCCCCCCCCCCCCCCCCCACTCCTCAGTTAAACCACAATGAACACTTCCTGAGGCAGGGCCATGCGTCCCTTGGGTCTCCATTTCCTGATCTAGCACAGACCCCACAGCTAGTCAGTCCACTGTGTCTGGTGTGTCCCAGTGCTGAGAACAGGAAGGAGGCACGTGTTCCCTCGGTGCCCTTCTCTGCACTCACCCATGAGCTTTCCCGAGTCCCTGGGTCACTCTGATCTGGGGGCCACATTACTTCCCCATGGGTTCCAATGGGGCGTGGGGGTGGGGTGTGAGGGGACAGGCAAAGACACCTCAAATATTGAAGTACCCACCAGGTGCTGGTGGCTCAAGCCTGTAATCCTAGCTACTCAGGAGGCTGAGATCTGAGGATCACGGTTCAAAGCCAGCCTGGGCAGGAAAGTCAGTGACACTCATTTCCAATAAACTACTCAGGAAAAGCTGGAAGTGGCGCTGTGGCTCAAGTGGTAGAGCACTAGCCTTGAGCAAAAGGAGCTCAGGGGCAGTGCCCAGGCTCAAAGTTCAAGCCCCATGACTGGCAAAAAAATAAAAAAATATTAAAGAGCCGTGAGCGGGTCAGGAACTGCTTTCCTAGCGGGAAATTAGGGCGATGCGACCCCAAGTCCCAGTAGCCTCACTTCCAAGCCCACAGTTGCTCCTGGAGCACTCTCTAGTTCTCCTGGTTTGGGAAGATAGTCTATGAGCTTGTTTTTCTCTCCCTTTTTGCACCTCAGGCACAAGAATACTGGCATTGCCAGGACTTGTTGGTGACGTGACTGGGGGTGGGGGTGGGTTCATGGCCGCCTGTCTAGGCCCCAAGGCCTCTCCTCAGCCTGGGAATACCTCAAGCTGGCTTTGTGTCTGAAGTTGCCAGGGCTCATGTGACTAAATCCTGGAGAAAACAGCATTCCTGACCTGAGGGGGTTTTTGTTCAGTTGGTTGTTGTTTGAGACAGCGTCACTGTATAGCCTCGGCTGACCTGGAACTTGAAATCTTCTACCTCACAGCCCAATTTTGGGGCTTAAAGGTGTGTACTACCCTGCCCAGTCATCTGATCAACATTTCTTTCTTTCCTTCCTTTTGTCGGTTGTGGGGCTTGAACTCGGCCTGGGTGCTGTCCCTGCGCTCTTCAGCTCAAGGTGAGCACTCTACCACTTGAACCTCAGCGCCACTTCGGTTTTCTAGTAGTTCATTGGAGATAAGAGTCCCACGGACTTTCCTGCCTGGGCTGGCTTTGAGCCATGATCCTCAGATCTCAGCCTCCTGAGTAGCTAGGATTACAGGCGTGAACCCCGGCACTGGGCCCACATTTCTTGTTTTCGGTTTGTTTTGTTTTGTGCCACTTGTAGGGCTTGAACTCAGGGACTGGGCGCTGGCACCGAGCTGTGTGGCTCAAAGCTCGCCCTACACCTCTTAAGCCACAGCTCCACTTCTGGTTGTTGTAGTTTGTATTTAATTGGAGATAGTCTCGTGGACTTTCCTGCCCGGGCTGGCTTCGAACCGTGATCCTCAGAGCTGTTTTCTGATAAGAATTACAGGCGTGAGTCACCAGCGCCCGGCTCCGCCACTTCTTCTTATAGGTCAAGGGTCGTGGGGTTGGGTCGTGACGCGTCCAGCGCAGAGGCGGACTCCGGGGAGTCCGGGCATGCGCAACCGCGAGGGGGCGCGGACGCCGGCAGGGCGCGGGCGCGGCGGCCTCGGGCTCCGATTGGCTCCCGCGCTGGGGGAGGCGGGGCCTAGCGTGCCCGGCTTCCTCCTGCGGCGACCTCGGCGGCGGAGCCCCGGCGGGGACTTGGAGTCCGCGGGAGTCCGGGCAGCGGCGGGCGCGACTTGCGGACTGGAGCTGGGGGCGGCAGCAGTCCCGGCGGGGTCCTGGCCCGAGGCGACGGGCTCTGCGACCCTGCGAGGTGAGGACGCCATCCCTCCCTGCCGGACAGGGGCGCGGTGCCCCGCCCGGCCACCCCGCCCGGCAGCCTCGGACCCCCCCCCCCCTCGCCCTGTGACCCCCGCACCAGGCCCGACCCGGCCGGAAGTGGGGCGCGTGGCTTCTCCCGACCCGGTGTCAGCCGCGGGACCCTTTTCCTCCTTGGATGAAAGCTTGAGGATACCCGACCCCCGTCCTCACCCCAGGACCCCCAGTAACTGCTGTTTTTCTCTCCCTGTACAGATGGAGGGGGCAGAAGGTAACGCCGGGCAGCCCGGCTCCGCCGAGCGGTCCCACCGAAGCAGTGTGTCCTCCGTGGGAGCTCGAGGTGGGTCCTGCCCTCCTTTGTGTCTCCTCTCACGCCCCCGAGACTCCCAGCCCTGCCGATGTGCCTCAGACTTGTCTTCTTTTTCATTAAATATAACATGACTAAGAATAAGGTAATCTGGACACGGGTGGCTCCCACCTGTCATCCTGGCTCCTCAGGAAACTGACATCTGGAGGTTTGTAGTGCTAGGCCAACCCTGGATCAAAAAAAAAAAAAGTACCCTAGACTGCATCTACCAAAAATAAAACAGCAAAAAGCAGGGCTAGAGGCATGGCTCAAGTGGTAAGAGTATATAAGCTGAGCAAGTGTGAGGCCCGAATTCAGAATTCAGTATTCCAAACAAAGGAAAAGAAAGAATGTGTGTTCCATGCAGGACAAGCTTAGGAAGAGGACCTGGGCTCTATCACTAGCTTAGTGACCAAGTCGGTATACTTTGTTTTGGGGAGGGGGGCTTGTACTTGGCTTTGAACTCAGGACCCTGTGCTCTGGCTTTGGCTTTTTGTTCAAGGGTGGTATTTCCAGCTTTTTGGTGGTTAATTGGAGATAAGAGTCTCACAAACTTTTCTACCTGGGCTGGCTTGGAACTTCAGATCTCAGCCTCCAGTAGCTAGGATTACAGGCATAACAGGCACCAGTGTCAGGTGAAGTACATGTTCTTTGATGGACATGTCTCAGCTGTGAAGTTAAATGAGAGCACATGAATGAAAAATGACATCTTCACTTTCTTTGTTCCATTTCATTCTCCTAAACAACCCCTTGGCACCTGGGATCATCATTACCTTTATTTTATTGGAAGGCAATTGGGTCCTACAGAGGTTAACTCATAGGCAGCTGAGCCCTGCGGTGATTATGAACTTGCGCCTTTAGTGCTTATTTTCCCTGTCTGTAAAGTTAGTCTGAACCTGTCTCCCTCTCCCTCCCTCTCCCTCCCTCTCCCTCCCTCTCCCTCCCTCTCCCTCCCTCTCCCTCCCTCTCCCTCCCTCTCCCTCCCTCTCCCTCCCTCTCCCTCCCTCCTCCTCTCTCCCCCTCCGTCTCCCTCCCTTTCTCTTCTTTTCCCTTTCTCCCCCTCTCTTCCCTCTCTATCCTCCTCTCTTTCCCCCCTCTTTTTTTTTCTTTTTTTTGGCCAATCCTGGGGCTTGAACTCAGGAACTGGGCACTGTCCCTGAGCTTCTTTTTTTTTTTTTTTGGTCAGTAGTGGGGCTTGAACTCTGGGCCTGGGTGCTGTCCCTCCGCTCTTCAGCTCAAGGCAAGCGCTCTACCACTTGAGCCACAGCACCACTTTCGGTTTTCTTGGAGATAAGAGTCTCACAGACTTTCCTTGGCCAGGCTGGCTTTGAACTGTGATCCTCAGATCTCAGCCTCCTGAGTAGTTAGGATTGCAGGCATGCGCTACCAGCTCCTGAGCTTCTTTTGCTCAAGGCTAGCACTCTACCACTTGATCCACAGTGTCATTTCTGGCTTTTTCTGTTTACATGGTACTGAGGAATCAAACCCCAAGGCAAGCACTCTACCACTAAGCCATATTCCCAGCCCCTGAACCTGTCTCTTAGAGATGATGCTTTCATCTAAGTAGCTGTTGGAGCAGAAAAGACTAGGAGTCTAAAACCCACATTTAGTTATGTTAACTATATACTGTACCCTGCCCTTTCATAGGCCTCATTTAATCCACAGCTACTTTTTTCCCCCTTGTGCTGGTCATGGGAGAACTTAGGGCCTGGGCACTGTACTTGAGCTGTTTTGCTTTCTACCACTTTGAGCCACTGCTCCATCTCATGGCCTTTCTTTCCTGGGCTGGCTTTGACCCATGATCCTCAGATCTCAGCTTCCTGAGTAGCTAGGATTACAGGCATGAGCATCAGCGCGCAGCTTTCCCTGAGCTCAAGGCTACTGGTCTACCACTTTTGTCACAGCTCCACTTCTGTCTTTTTTTGGCTAGTTAACTGGAGATAAGAGTCTCACAGACTTTCTTGCTTAGACTAGGTTCAAATCTCAATCCTCAGATCTCAGCCCCCCTAATTAGTTAGGATTATAGACATCAGCCCCCAGTCACAGCTACTTTTTTTTTTTTTTTTGCCAGTCCTGGGGCTTGAACTGAGGGCCTGGGCACTGTCCCTGAGTCTCTGTGCTCAAGGCTAGCGCTATACCATTTGAGCCACAGTGCCACTTCTGGCCTTTTCTGTGTATGTGGTACTGAGGTCATGCATGCTAGACAAGAACTCTACTACTAAGCCACTTTCCCAGCCCATGGCTACTTTTTTTTTTTTTTAACTGTTATCATAAAGGTAATATACAGAGGGATGACAGTTGCGGAAGTCAGGTAAACAGTACATTTCTTTTTGAACAGTGTCACCCCTTCTTCTTGCTCTCCTAGTTTTTCCTTTCCATTCCCAACCACAAGTTGTACAGTTCATTTTCAACATAGTGTCTAGTGAGTACCACTGCATTGGTTCATTCTTTGTTCCTCATTTCTTTTTTTTTGGGGGGGTCCAGTCGTGGGGTCTGAACTCTGGGCCTGGGCACTGTCCCTCAGCTCTTCAGCTCAAGGCTAGCGCTCTACCACTTGAGCCACAGTGCCACTTCTGGCTTTTTTTCTTTTTGCTTATGTGGTGCTGAGGAATCGAACCCAGGGCCTCATGCATGCAAGGCAAGCGCTGTACCACTGAGCCACCTTCCCAGCCCCTTTGTCCCTCATTTCTGTGTCTAATAGCATTCCTAACAGGGTCTTTGGGGATGTCAGTTTTTCCTCAGTGTAGCCTGCGATGCCTCAAGGGCAGAAAGGGGTGGAGGACGGCTGCTCAGCCTGGCTGTGCCTGCCAGCGGCCCCGGCTGAGCTGCCCGCCCTCCCTTGTAGCTGCTGATGTGCTGGTGTATCTAGCTGATGACACAGTGGTGCCCCTGGCGGTGGAGAACCTTCCTGCGCTCAGTGCCCACGAGCTGCATCGCGCAGTCCGAGAGGTCCTGCAGCTCCCAGACAGCGCCCTGGAGGCCTTCGCGCTCTGGCTCGTCTCCCCTCTGCTGGGTAAGCAGTGGCAGTGAGAGGCCCAGCTTGAGGGAGGTATTAGAAGGGTGCTGACCAACCAGGCCAAAGGGAAGGGCAGCTTCGGAACCTCTGGCGGGAAGTGGCATGTGTGTCCTAGAGTTCCGAGACGATCTGGCTCTTGTGGCTGAAGACCCAGCCTGCCAATCACGTCAGTGATGCTTGGGCCTGGGGCATCCATCAGGAGACGCAGGGGCAGGAGGGCTCACCACACTGCCCTGGCCATGCTTGATGAGCATAACTTCACTGTGTCCCCTGAAGACTGCAGCCCTGAGACCAACCCATGTTAGTGCCAAGCTAGAACCATCATGACAGCCATCGGGCTGAGGTGGGAATAGGATGGTGGCTTATCAGACCTCAGGCAGGGCTACTGGGGTGAACGAGGCCCGTAATGCCACAGGCAGGAAAGGAAGCAAGGAAAGAAATGCCTATGTTGTCATCTGGAGAAGTAACTTGGTGCTGGGCCCAGGCATGTTTTCTGAGCATCAATATTCCCTTTGTGATGGAGGAATGGGGACAAGGACAGGTGACCAGAGGCATTAGGAGGGTGAACAGCCCTGGGCACCCATGGCTCACACCTGTACTCCTAGCTACTCAGGAGGCTGAGATCTGAGGATCATGGTTCAAAGCCAGCCCGGGCAGGAAACTCCGTGAGACTCTTACCTCCAGTAAACCACCAGAAAATCAGAAGTGGGGCTGTGGCTCAAGTGGTAGAGCACCCAGGCCCAGAGTTCAAGCCCCACAACTAACCAAAAGAAAAGAGGGTTGGGGCTGGGAAGGTGGCTCAGTGGTAGAGTGCTTGCCTTGCATGCATGAGGCCCTGGGTTCGATTCCTCAGCACCACATAAGCAAAAAGAAAAAAGCCAGAAGTGGTGCTGTGGCTCAAGTGGTAGAGCGCTAGCCTTGAGCTGAAGAACTGAGGGACAGCGCCAGGCCCCACGACTGGACCAAAATAAATAAAAAGGGTTAACAGGATGGCAGAGTTAGGGCTCCAGTTCCTAGTGACTCCCCCTTCTCCTGAGTCCAGGAGGGACTGGACGTCTACGCTGGAGGCTCTGTCCTCTGGGTAGGAGAGAGGGAGCTCCCAGCATCCTCCACCCCCCTCCTCCTCCTCCCCACCCCACCCAGCTTCCTGTGCAGCTGCCACCCCAGGCTCTCACCCACCCTTTTCCTGCTCATCCAGCTTCCCTGGCCCCCTATCTCTGGCCCCCAGTTCTTCCTTTGGGCTGCTACTCAGGCCTGTGGGCGTGACCAGCTGTGTCTTTAGAAAGCCAGGGGCGGTGGGGTTTAGTGGGTGGCCCTTGCCCTGTCCTTGGGAGGCTCCCAGGGCCAGCAGGAGCCTCCTCTCCCCTCCGCTTCTTCCACTCCCTTCCCACATTCCTGTCCCCCACAGCTGACAACTGAATGGGCTGCTTGTGTGGCTGAGCCCATCCAAGAGGAGGCTAGGCTCAAGCCTCCTGGTTAACACCATGTTGTTCCAGGCTGGCGTGGGAGGTTGCAAGTCCACGCCAGCTTTCCTTGGGGCCCCAGCTCCCCTTGTCTCCTCCCCCGCCCCCCGCAGACAGGGTGAAGCAGAGGCAGAGGTCCCCCGCTGTGGGTGTCCACAAAGCAGGGATGAGGCGCTGTCAGCACGACTGGCCCCTTGTGCCCCACATTTGGGTAGTATTTGGCCTTCTCCATGGAACAGGGCTCCAGGCACTGTCCTTGTCAGGTGACAAGTGGCAGAGTCCTATCTGGAAGTCAAGGATGGTGGAGTCAGCTTAGTCCTGTGGGCTGCTGGGTCTGAGAGTCAAGGCAAGAGACAGGCCGTCCCTGTTCCCAGGCCTGCCTTTCCCCGCTCAGGCTGTGACTGCGGAGGGTGCAGCAGCAAGGAGGTGACGGGGCCCTCCCCCAGCACTCCAGCTCGGTACTTTCCAGTCCAGAGTGCTCACGGGAAGCAAGAGCGTGTGGCCTCCCACAGTCCCTGTCCCTCTGCGGCCTTGGGTTCTCACTGTGAATGATCTTCATGCCCTCCAAAGTCCGAAGAGGGGGCCAAGTTGTCAGGATGACAGGGAAGCCCTTTCTGGAGGAGAGGAAGGCTGGATGGCTGGCCAAAGGGTGGGGCCTGGGATCTAGGTGAGAGAGGAACGCCACGGCACCTCTAGGAAATCTGGATCAGAAATGATGGGGCTTTAAGAAAGGCCTGCAGAAACCGGGCGCCGGTGGCTCACACCTGTAATCCTAGCTACTCAGGAGGCTGAGATCTGAGGATCACAGTTCAAGGCCACCCTGGGCACAAAAGCCTGTGAGCTTCTTATCTCCAGTAAACCACCAGAAAACCAGAAGTGGCGTTATAGCTCAAGTGGTAGAATGCTAGCTTTGAGTTGAAGAGCTGAGGGACAGTGCTCAGGCCCAGAGTTCAAGCCCCATGACCGACCAAAAAAAGAAAAAAAGAAAGGACTGTAGATGCAAGGCCTGCAGGGCAGAGACTGGAGGCCAGGAGGTCCATGTAGAGGCCGTGGCTGCTGTCTGAGGTCAAGGGATCCTAAAGCAAGGTCCAGAGAACAGAGATGAGGACCTTTAGCATCAGGCTGGTAGGACAAGGCAGTTGGTCATCAGTAGGGAGGCGAAGGGCAGGGAAGGAGATCCGGGGCAGAAGCCTGTTGGCAGGCATGGCAGGCATCCTCAGCACACACCTCAGTGCCTTTCTGGGTGAGCTTGGAAACTGCCACCCGCCTCTGCAGGGCAGCGCCGCAGTGGGTCAGAGCCGCTGCGGGAGCCCCTGTTGCTGTGTCTTCCTGCATGACAGCCTGAGCTCGAGGGCCGTGTGTGGAGCACTCCCATCATGTGCTGATCAGTGGCGGGGGCCGTGTCTCGGGATGAGGTGCCATCAGCAGGAGCTGCCCCTTATGTAGTGTTTGGCCTTGTGTGTGCTACTGGGCCCGGAGGAGACACCGCTAGCTCCTGCCACATGGTGAGAAAGAATGTCAGGTAGAGGAAAGCTCCATAAGGAAGCAATTACAGCTGAGCACTGGTGGCTCATGCCTGTAATTCTAGCTACTCAGGAGGCTGAGCTCTGAGGATTGCAATTCAAAGCCAGCCTGGGCAGGAAAGCCCGATAGACTGTCTCCAATTAACTACCAGAAAACCGGGAATGGGGTTGTGGCTCAAGTGGTAGAGCACTAGCCTTGAGTTGAAGAGCTGAGGGACGGTGCCCAGGCCCAGAGTTTAGGCCCCACAACCAAAATAAATAAATAAATAATGCAATTATGGGATAGGAAATGATTTTCTTTTTTTTTTTTTTTTTTTGGTCCGCCATGGGGCTTGAACTCCGGGCCTGGGCGCTGTCCCTCAGCTCTTCAGCTCAAGGCAAGCGCTCTACCATTTGAGCTACAGCGCCACTTCCGGTTTTCTGGTGGTTTATTGGAGATAGGAGTCTCACGGTCTCCTGCCCGGGCTGGCTTTGAACCGCCATCCTCAGATCTCAGCCTCCTGAGTAGCTAGGATTACAGGCGTGAGCCACCAGCGCCCAGCTTGGAAATGATTTTCTTTTTAGCTTTTATGTCAGCTTTATTCTCAGAGTCAACCTGTGTGAGTTAACAAACCCCACGTTGCCAACTGTTGTAGGAATCATATTCCTTCTTACATTTACAGAGTCTCATATTCAGCAATGAGTTCTGGGTTGCAAAAGAGGGTTTACTGCTTGCACCCATCTGTAAGGTATGATAGAAAATCCTGAGGAGGGAGGGCTGGGAATGTGGCTTAGTGGTAGAGCGTTTGCCTAGTATGCGTGAAGCTCTGGCTTCAATTCCTCAGTACCACCTAAAACAGAAAAAGCTGGAAGTGGCACTGAAGCAAAAGAAAATCAGGACAGTGTCCAGGCCCTGAGTTCAAGCCCCAGGACTGGCAAAAGAAAAAGAAAAACAGAAAATCCTGTGGAGGGACTGCTTTAGTAACAGGGCCAGGGTGAATGACCCTGAACTGAGACTTAAGCCAGCCAGCCATGTGAAGATCTGTGACCAAGGCAGGAGGAACAGCATGGGCAAAGGTCCTGAGGTATAGACTCCCTGAGATTACTTGTGCCACTTAAGACAGTGTGAGCGGAGCAGGATGGGATGGAGAGAGGGTAGAGAGGTGGTGGTTTTTGTGGAGTAAGAGGGTCACTGGAGATGGACCTGGGAAGCCCAGGCTCTGCCCCCGCGAGCTACAGCATTCCCCTGAGCCTTCAGGCCCTAGTCACCAGCAGATGGCGACTGGAGGCGGCCAGTGCTGGGTCTTTTGGCTACTTTCCCTCCGCCCCCTTGGGCCGTTCCCCTCTCAGATCCAGCTGGCCCTGGGGAACAAGCTGTGCTGAGCAGGCCCATCCACTTGCTCGGGGCAGCAGCCTAGTTGCTCTGAGCCTCATTTTCTCTGTGGTGAGGTGGAGGGTGGAGTGTGGCCAGGAGAACGCGTGTGAGCCGCTAGAGTCGCTGAGGACACTCCATTCTACTCCGCTGCTGCTGGCCACGACACTGCAACTTGCAGAGGTGGGCAGGGTGGCAGCCCGGTGGGCACCATCAACCCGTTAAAGGTTGCATGATACTTCCTTTCTGCCCACAGAGGTGCAGCTGAAGCCCAGGCATCAGCCGTACAAGCTGGGCCGCCAGTGGCCGGAGCTGCTGCTGCGATTCACTGACGCCCCAGATGACGATGTGGCTACAGGTCCGTGCGGCCGCAGGCCCCAAGCGGGGCTGTGTGTCCCCTCCTGCCTAAGGGGGAGGAGAGACGGGTGGGCTGGGAGGGGCAGCTGCAGAGATGGGCCCTGTGCCCCTGCCTGGGGTCTTTCCAGTCCCGGTAGGCGAGTTGGGGAGCTGGGGTGCGGGCCGTGCCCGGGCGTGCGGCGGTGATCGCAGGCTCTCCCCCCAGATGAGCCATCCCTGCAGTTCCGGAGGAACGTGTTCTTCCCGAAGCGGCGGGAGCTCCAGGTGAGGCCGCGAGTGCAGGGGTGCTGCTACCCACGTCCTGTGTGCCCTCTGTCCCATCTCCCCTTCCCCGAGACCCCTCATCAGGCCTGGCCCTCACCCAGCTGAGCGTTCCTTCCTTGCCATACCGGCCGACAGATGCAGGACGAGGAGGTCCTGCGGCTGCTCTACGAGGAGGCCAAGGGCAATGTGCTGACCGCCCGGTACCCGTGTGACGTTGAGGACTGCGAAGCACTCGGGGCCCTGGTGTGCCGGGTGCAGCTTGGGCCCTACCAGCCTGGCCAGCCCACGGCCTGCGCCCTGAGGTGAGGGCGGGACATCCGGTGGGGACGGTTGCCCCTGCCCATCCTGCTTACCAAGGGTCCTAGGTTGCGGGAGGTGGGCGCAGTCCTGGAGTCAGGCCTCCGTCTCCCCCACACTCACCATGTGGCGCTGGGTGAGTTGCTCCAGCTCTCACAGCCTCCTTTCCCTCTTGTATGATGGGTAGCGGGAGCCAGAGATGAGTGAGGGTGAAGTGAGATCTGAGATGCATCTCAGCCAGAGGGGCCCCATGGCGCCCACAGGTGCAGAGCCTGGGCCCAGCCTCTAGCCAGGGTCCGGAGGGAGCTGGCCTTGTTCTTTGAACTCAAAGTCAGGATTTTCCTGTGCCCAGTAAAAGGCTGGCTGAGTGTGGTGTCTCACGCCGGTACTACAGTGTCAGGCCACTTGAACTAGGTTGTTCTTGTAGCTCAAAACCCAGCCGTCCTGGCCTCCTGGCCTTTTAGGCCTCTCCTGGGCACTTTCTAGCCCTGGAGTTGGCAGGCGTCTAGTAAGATGGGGCCAGAAGCCTCTCCACGGTGGGTGGCACACGGGGGTGCACAGGCTGGTTTGTCTTCTGTCCTGGGCCTGGCAGCCCCTGTATCTGTCACTTCTGCCAGTTCAGAGAAAGTGGCATTTCGCAGTGAGTCCAGGCAGACGAAGTAGGCACAGAGCAGGAAAGGTGATCGTGGGTCACACAGCTGCTTGTGACAGAGCCTGCTTGTCTCCTTCCCCTGGGGACCCACATCCTCTTAATGTTCAGGTCCTCCCTTGGCACTGGCCCCTAAACCCCACGGCCAGAGTGGAGACCGTGGGATCCCTGTTGGAGTATCCTGGGCAGGTGCCACTGCCTTGCCCCTTGTGGCCACTGGAGGGCCCTGGTGCCTTCGGATGTCATGGACATTCCTGTGCCAGGTCACCTGTGGGGCTTTTCCCTCCCCTGCGCGTGTGGCAACCACAGCAGAGCACCTACCTGCACACTCTGCCCAGGCCCCCAGCACCCTCCTTGCTTCCCCTCAGGGAGAAATTGGACTCCTTCCTCCCGTCCCACCTCTGCAAGCGGGGCCGAGGCCTCTTCGCTGTCCTCCGGGGCCGGGAGGCCAAGGCCGGGACGGGCGAGCAAGGCCTGCTGAACGCCTACCGCCAGCTGAAGGAAGCGGACGGCAGCCACAGTGAGCACGCCGCCTCGCTGGGCTCCCACTACCGCGCCTACCTCCTCAAGTGCCACGAGCTGCCCTTCTACGGGTGAGCACACAGCCCTGCGCCACTGCCCCAGCGGGCTGCCAGCCCTGGCCTGAGCTCCTCCCAGTCTTCCCTCTCAGGCCTGCACACCTCCACTGCCACCTGGTCACCACAGCAGCTGACTGTCCCTTCAGCCGGCTCTCATGTGCTGGCTGAGTGCCAGTCCATGCACACTTGGGACCCCTGAGCCTGCCTTGTGGAGCTGGCATTGGTGGGAGGGCCCCGGGGACACCAATGCAGCAGGATTGCCGAGGGAGGTACGAGTAATGCAGAGGATGGTTCAGGCCAGAAACCAATGACACAAGCTGCCTGGTCAGGTTCTGAGCCGCTCTGAGGGAGCCGCTAGGTAGTGCACAGTATAAGGAGGGAGAAGGGTCTAGTCTGTGCCCTGCCAGAGAAAGTTGCTTTCAAGCTGATTTCCAGTGGCTCACGCCTGTAATCCTAGCTACTCAGAAGGCTGAAATCTGAGGATCATGGTTCGAAGCCAGCCTAGACAGGAAAGTCCGTAAGACTGATCTTCAATTAACCACCAGATGACCGGAAGTGGCTCTATGGCTTAAGTGATAGAGCGCTAGCCTTGAGCTGAAGAGCTGAGGGACAGCGCCCAGGCCGAGTTCAGGCCCCACGACCAGACCCAAAAAAAAAAATTTAGTCAAGCGGGAACGGTGGAGGAAGTGCCACAGGAGAGGAGAGGATATGGCCAGCAGAAAAGAAGGCAGTGACTGAGTCACATGGCACCCAACCATCACATCTAGAAGAAGGCGGCAGGGCTCCGTGGCCTGGCCACCTCCATCAGCCTCACCTGCCCAAGGCCCAGGCTCCTTGCCAGCCCCGAATGCCACTTGCTTTGCCCCCCTGCCTGGTCCCTGCTCTTCCCCTCTGCCTGCAGGGCCCGCCCTGCTCTGTGCCATCCTGTTCCCGTCATGCGCCACGAGTCACATGGCACTGACCTGCAGAGCTGCTTCTTCCTCCTCAGATTTTCCCTTCCCTGGAGTAGGTTTCTGTCCAACCTTCAGTTGTCCAAACAGCTTCAATTTCTGGGGGCCCCAGAGCAGGCCCCCTGACTGTGCCAGGTGCTGGAGGGGTGGCTCACCCGAGTCCCCCCCCAGGTGTGCCTTCTTCCACGGTGAGATCGACAAGCCAGCCCAGGGCTTTCTGCATCGGGGTGGACGCAAGCCAGTGACGGTGGCCATCAGCCTGGAGGGGGTGCACGTCATCGACAGCAGGGAGAAGGTACCACCTGCTGCTCTGCTGCCAGGGCGGGGCCTGAGGCACCCTTGGCAGGGCGGGGAGGGAGGACAGACAAGTAGACTGTGTAGGAGTGCCCTGCCTCCATCTGAGTGCCCCTGGGGTCCCGCTCTGTACATCCTGAGGACTTCCTGCGGTCTGCTCTGTGTCGTCTTTGCTGTCTGGCTGGTGGGGTTGGGCAAGGTGTGGAGGCTGCACTTGGGAACCCCACTGCTGAGTGGAGGGAGTCTGGCAGCACCTGGCTGCTTTGCATGGCTGGGAGCCTCCCCGGAGGGTCTAAAGGAGCTGGGCTTCTCTCTTTAACAATACTTGAAGGAGGAGCTGGAAGCTGATGGCTCACGCCTGTAATCCTGTCTAATCAGGAGGCTGAGATCTGAGGGTCACAGTTCTAGTCAGCCCAGGCAGGAAAGTCCATGAGACTTTTTTTTTTTTTGGTTGGTTGTGGGACCTGAACTCGGCCTGGGCGCTATCCCTCAGCTCTTCAGCTCAAGGCTAGCGCTCTACCATTTGAGCCACAGTGCCACTTCCAGCTTTTTCTGCTTATGTGGTGCTGAGGAATCCAACCCAGGGTTTCATGCATGCAAGGCAAGCGCTCTACCACTGAGCCACCTTCCCAGTCCCTCCATGAGACTCTTATCTCCAATTAATTACCAAAAAACTGGGAGTAGAGCTGTGGCTCAAAGTGGTAGAACACTAGCCTTGAGTACAAAAAGCTCAGGGAGCGCCCAGGCCCAGAGTTCAGGCCGCACGACTGGACCCAAAAAAAAAAAAAAAGCTCAGGGACAGGGGCTGGGAAGATGGCTCAGTTGTAGAGTGCTTGTCTTGCATGTAGGAGGCCCTGGGTTCAATTCCTCAGCACCACATAAGCAGAAAAAGCCAGAAGTGGTGCTGTGCTCAACTGATAGAGTGTGAGCGTTGAGCTGAAAAGCTCAGGGACAGCGCCTAGGCCCAAAGTTCAGGCCCCATGACCAGCCAAAAAAAAAAAAAAGATATATGAAGGAATTAGACTCAGTCTAGAGAGGCAAAGACCCAAATGGTCCCATCCTAGTGGAGCCCAATGGGACAGGGAACAGCCCTGGCCAGGGGCCCACGCCTTGCTCTGTCCTCTGCTGGCCAGCATGTCCTGCTGGGCCTGCACTTCCAGGAGCTGTCGTGGGACCACACTTCCCCTGAGGAGGAAGAGCCCATCCTGTGGCTGGAGTTCGATGGCGACAGTGAGGGCATGCCTGTCAACAAGCTGCTCAGGATCTACTCCAAGCAGGTAATGGTGGTGTCACCTGTTCCTGGAGAGGGCGGCTCTGGCCCAGCGCCCTGGCAGGCTCCAGACTGTCTGGGAGGGCAGCGTGTTGCCCAGGGCTGTGTGGGCAGTGGCACTGTCTTCTCAGATGCGGGCAGGTAGAGAAGGGTAGAAGCCCTCAGGGTCTGTGTTTGGATCCATTCATTCTACCCTTCCCCGTGCCCTTCCCTTCTGCTATAGTCATATCCAAGCCATCCCTACAGCAAGTCCTCCCCGCACAAAGACTAGTTCCAGACAGGCCTATCTCCAAAACCACGTTGCTGAGGCTCAAGTGGTCGAGCACCAGGCTTGAGCTGTACTGGCACAAAATACCCCTCATTCTTTCTGTGGTCGTCCAAAAATTTGGAAATAACACAGATGTTCACTACTTGGTAACTAGACACACAAATTGTAAGCCAAGCCGATGATAGTTCACATCTGTAATCCTAGCTATTCAGGAAGCTGAGATCTGAGGAAGCCAGCCCAGGCAGGAAAAGTATATGAGACCATTCCCTCTAATTATCCAGCTGGAAGTGGAACTGTGTTTCAAGTAGTACAGCGCCAATCTTGAGTGAAAAAGCTAAGGGACAGCACTGACGCCCTGAGGTCAAGACCCAGTACCAACACACCAACACACATACACACACACATGTTCAACCTTTGAGTGTGCACAATGTATGCATCCTTCGAAACTGGCTTTTCAGTAAACAACATGCTTTTGAGATTCATCTATATCTTATGGTAAATCTATTCGTTCCCATTTTTCTTTTTTCTCGGTTTTGGGAACCAAATCCAGGGCCTCAACCAATGCTAACCCTATGGTCCACCTCTAGGCCATACTCAGCCCCAGTTCCTTCCCTTTTTATGTCCGTACACAAAAATAGTACAGCCATTCACCTGCAGGAAAGAGCTGGGAATAGAACCAGGGCCTTGCAGCCCTGACTTCACCCATTGAAGAGTATTTGGGTTGTTTTGATGTTTACCAGTAAAGCTGTTTTGTGCACATAAATCTTTTTTGGCCTCACATAAAAACAGGCGTGAGCACCTGGCTCACGGCTGTAATTCTGGCTATTCAAAACACTGCTGGGGCTGGGAAGGTGGCTCAGTGGTAGAGTGCATGAGGCCCTGGGTCCAATTCCTCAGCACCACATAACAGAGAAAACAGGAAGTGGCACTGTGGCTCAAGTGGTAGAGCACTTGCCTTGAGCTGAAGAGCTGAGGGACAGTGGCTGGGCCCAGAGTTCAAGGCCCCTGACAAACAAAAACAAAAACTAGATACTAGCTGGGCGCCAGTGGCTCACGCCTGTAATCCTAGCTACTCAGGAGGCTGAGATCTGAGGATCACAGTTCAAAGCCAGACTGGGCAAGAAAGTCCATGAAACTCTTATCTCCAATAAACCACTAGAAGACTGGAAGTGGCGCTGTAGCTCAAGTGGTAGAGCGCTAGCCTTGAGCTGAAGAGCTGAGGGACAGCGCTCAGGCCCAGAGTTCAAGCCCCACAACCGACAAGAAAAACAAAAAACAAGATACTGCTATCCAGAGGATTATGATTGGAAGCTAGCCTGAACAGAAAATAGGATCCATAAGACTCTTATCTCTAAAATTAGGCAAAAAAACAGGGCTGCAGCATGGCTCAGGTGGTAGAGCAGAAACAAGCACTGATACAACAGCGGCTACACAGCACAGATGGCTGGTTGTCAGGAGCACTGCCGCGCTCTTGGTGCTGCTCCACAGTGGCCGGCATGTTGGCGGCATCCCTCAGCCATGTTAGTGTTTGACATTTTAGTAATGTATGGTAGAATGTTATTGCGATTTTAATTTATATTTTCATAATGAGTAATGTGAATTATTTTTTCATGTGCTTATTAATTGCTATCCTCTGATCTCTTTGTGCAGCTTGGGTTCAAATCATTTACCTGTCCATTTTTTAAACTGGATTTGTTTTCTTTTCTTTTCTTTTTTTTTTTTTTTTTTTTGGTGGAGGTCAGTCCTGGGGTTTGAAATCAAGGCCTTGAGCTCTGGTTTGGTTTGCTTGCTCACAGCTGGTGCTTTCCCACTGAGCCATACCACATTCCAAGTTTTTGCTGGTTACTGGGGCATGGAGTCTTAACATTTTTACTGGCCTGGGTCAGCTTCAGACTTTGATCCTCTGCTACTGAGTAGCTAAGATTATAGTTTTGGTTTATTTTTGTTGTTGTTTGTTTTTTGTTTTTGTGCCAGTCCTGGAGCTTGAACTCAGGTCCTGGGCACTGTCCCTGAGCTTTTTTTGCTCTAGGCTAGAACTCTACCACTTGAGCCATAGCACCACTTCCAGGTTTTTCTATATATGTGGTACTGAGGAACCGAGCCCAGAGCTTGATGTATTCTAGGCAAGCTCTCTACCACTAAGCCACATACCCAGCCCTTAGGATTATAGGTGTGAGCCACTGGTACCCAGCTCCAAGTTATAGGGCTTGAACTCAGGGCTTGGGCACTATCCCTGAGCTCTTTTTGCTCAAGGCTAGTGCTCTACTACTTTGAGCCACAACTCTACTCCTGGTTTTCTAGTGGTTAATTGGAGGTAAGAGTCTCATGGACTTTACTACCCTGGCTGGCTTTGAACCGAGATCCTCAGAGCTCAGCCTCCTGAGTAGCTAGGTGTGAGCTAGCACCCAGCCTCCAAGTTTGTTTGTTTTTGTTTTTTTGCCAGTCTTGGGACTTGAACTCAGGGTCTGGGCGCTCTCCCTAAGCTTCTTTTGCTCAAGGCTTGTGCTCCACCACTTTGACCCACAGCTCCCCTTCCAATTTTTAGATGGTTAATTAGAGATGGTGGTCAAGTGGCACTGTGGCTTCAGGTGATAGATCCCTACCATTAAGAACCCGATTGAGGGCTGGGAAGGTGGCTCAGTGGTAGAGCGCTTGCCTTGCATGCACGAGGCCCTGGGTTCGATTCCTCAGCACCACATAAGCAGAAAAAGCTGGAAGTGGCGCTGTGGCTCAAGTGCTAGAGTGCTAACCTTAAGCTGAAAAGCTGAGGGACAGTGCCCAGGCCCAGAGTTCAGGTCCCACGACCAGCAAAAAAAAGAACCCGGTCGAGGGGCTGGGAAGGTGGCTCATTAGTAGAGCACTTGCCTTGCATGCCTGAGGCCCTGGGTTCGATTCCTCAGCACCACATAAGCAAAAAGAAAAAAGCCAGAAGTAGTGCTGTGGCTCAAGTGGTAGAGTGTTAGCCTTGAGCTGAAGAGCTGAGGGACAGCACCCAGGCCCAGAGTTCAGGCCCCACGACTGGACCCCCCCCAAAAAAAAAAAAAAAAAAAACCAGGTCGGGCTGGGAAAGTGTCTTAGTGGTAGAGTGCTTGCCTAGCATGCATGCATTAGGCCCTGGGTTCAATTCCTCAGCACCACATAAGCAGAAAAAGCTGGGAGGGGTGGCTCAAGTGGTAAAGCGCTATCCTTGAGCTGAAGAGCTGAGGGATGGCGCCCAGACCCAGAGTTCAGGTCCCACGACTGCCAAAAAAAAAAAAAAAAACCCAGGTCATGAATGCAAGCCTAGTGCCCTCCCCACACACAAAAAATAATAATTTAAAAGGCCTGTAATTAATTCCAGTATTTTGGAAGCAGACATCAGAAGGATTGTGGTTTGAGACTAGCTGGGCAAAAGTTAGGGAAACTCCATCTCACAATAAAAAAAACAAGGGACTGGAGAGCATCCCTCAAGTGGTAGAGTGCTTTAAGTTCCATCCTTACTACTACACACACACCAAAAGGGAGGGAAGGAGGGAGAAAGGCGTTGCTTTGTCCTGTGGCAGGACATGTTGAGAAGGGGCTGAGCAGATGCTTCCAATCTGCCCGTGCCCCTAGGAAAGCTGGGGCAGAAGTGCACATCTGTCCTTGGTCGGGTTGAGAAAATTCCTCTGGCAATCCTAGCTAGCAATCCTGCAGTTTTGTGAATGTCTCACCGCCGGGTTCTGAGTGGGGTTTTGTGAATGGGTTTTGTGAATGGAAGCTGCAGTGTGTTGATCTCCCTGGAAAGCAGCGGGCTGTGCTCAAGCCTGCGCGGGGGGCTCTGAGGGCTTTCCCACTCTGCGCTTGCTGCCTCTGGTCACCAGCCAGGGACATGGAATAGGAAGGGGCAGAAGACCTCGCTAGCTCATTTCCTTCAGGCCAAATATATTCCCAGCCCACCTCCTCCTCCCCTCTCTCCTCCTCCCCTTCCCCCGCCCCACTGGCTGCTGCCTAGGCATCAGGCCACAGGAGATGAGCTGGGACTGGAGCAATGTCCATAGAGCCACCACCACCAGGCAATGACAGTTCTGCCGCTCAGTGAGCAGGAGTGCGTGCGGGCCTGACGGTCCCGGCATTTCTACTTCTCTGCTCCTGACAAGGGACACCACCCTGGAGAGCTTCCCTGACTCCTTCCATGCCCTCGGCCCTCCACCATGCCCGCGGTGCCCCCAGACATCCGGCCACTTCACCCGTTAAGTCAATATGAGTCCACCATGTTGGAGTGTCATGTTAGAGGAATGTGTGCACAGGAGCCCCGCCCCTGCTGATGACGTCACTCTCCTCAGACCCCCGCCCCCCCCACCTCTCCCTCCCCCACCTCTGTAACAGCTTGGCTTCTAGAGGCCCAACTGGGCTTCCCTGTCCACCCCAGCCTTTCCCAGGCTGCGCCTTCTGACTACTAGAATGTTCTTTCCTTCCTTGGAACCATGGGCACCAGAAGGCGGAGCCAGAGCCATGGCTCACCCCGTGGCCTCCTCCCCCCTGCCCCCCAGGCTGAGCTGATGAGCGGCCTCATCGAGTACTGCATCGAGCTGAGCCAGGCCGCAGAGCCCGCTGCTCCCCAGGACAGTGCGTGTGGCCCCCACTCGGCCTCCAGCCCTGCCCCGCCGGCCGCCCAGCGCCCCAAGCTACGGAGGCAGGGCAGTGTGGTGTGCAGCCGGATCCAGCATCTCTCCACCATTGACTACGTGGAAGAGGGTGAGCCACCATGCATGGGTACACGTGGCAGGTCCAGACCGGGTCAGCCCCCTCTGAGCCCAGCGGGCCTTTCCCAGCCCCCTCTCTCTCTGCTGCCTCCACAAGCATGCACCTTGCTTGCAGCACCTCTCAGAATGTGACAGACTGGAGCCATACAGTGCTTATTTAAGGCGCCGGTATACATATAAGTTTAGAATTCTCTAAATTTTACCAAAGGGTTTGGCTTTTTCACTGTAGGCTGACACTGCCACTTGAACCACAGCGCCACTTTCAGCTTTTTGTTTATGTGGTGTTGAGGAATTGAACCCAGGGCCTCATGCATGCGAGGCAAGCACTCTACCACTGAGCCACCTTCCCAGCCCCCTTTTAGGTTTTTGTGCGTGCTCAGGTTTGAACTCAGGGTTCTGCTTGCTTGGCCATCACCCTGTCACGAGCTACACCTCCAGTCTAGCTTTATGCTGGTTTGAGTTTTTTGTGATCCTTGCTGGGCACTGGTGGCTTATGCCTGCAATCCCAGCTCCTCAGGAGGCTGAGATCTGAGGACTGGGATTTGAAGCCAATTTAGGCAGGAAAGAGGAAAGACTCATCTCCAATTAACCACCAAGAAAGGTGGAAGGGGAGCTCTGGTTCAAGTGGTAGAACTCTAACCTAGAATGAAAAAATCTAAGGGACTCCCTGAGTTTAAGCCTCAGGACCAGCACAAAAAAGAAAAGAATCCTGTGTCCCGCTGGATCTATCTCCTGAGTAGCTGCAATTATAGGCGTGAGCCACTGGTGCTATATCTAAAGTTCCTCGGCTGCCCTACAGCCCCACGGTACACTGGTAGAGGAGTCTGGTGGGAGACAGGCGGGAAGGCAGCCAGGTCTGAAGTGAGCGCTGGGTCCAAATAGGCCCTGGAAGGACCTCCCACCTGAGCCAGAGCCCCGGCTCCTGGGGCCTTGCAGCCCCACTCGGGCCTCTCCCCAGCATGTTTCTCTCTCTGCCTCGCAGGCAAGGGGATCAAGCGGGTGAAGCCGAAGCGCACCACGTCCTTCTTCAGCCGGCAGCTGTCCCTGGGCCAGGGCAGCTACACTGTGGTGCAGCCCTCCGACAGCCTGGAGCAGAGCTCAGGATGAGTGTGCTTCTGCACCTGGCCCGCCGTCCTCCCAGGCAGGGGCCGGGCTGGGTTAGGCTGAAATTAGGCTGTGCACGTGGTCCGTGAGTACTTGAGAACATGGAGGGGTGGGCACAGGCCCCTCTGCAGTCCGTCCTCCTGTCCCCGCTGCCCCTACTGACCAACACGATGCCCATCTGGAGGTGATCGCCCCTGCCGCCGGTGGCAGGGGCCTGGCTCACATCTCGGGCTGTGGGGTCCTGTGTGCCTTTGCTCTTCTGGACTCTGGTCAGCACGTCTTGCATTCCTTCTGCCGGCATTCCACCTACCTTGCTCTCAGGAGGACTGGCCCCTGGCCTGAGCTATGCGGAAACAGCACTGCCCCCCCCCCCCCAATGTCTAGGACTCCACCCCGTTCTGCAGGCCAGACACACTGAGCAGACAAGGTTCCTTTTGTCTGCCTTTGGTGTCATGCCCATGTTGGGAGGTGGCTGTCTTGGGGACCAGTAGACACCCCCCCATTTCACACTGGATGATCCTGAAAAGCCCCTGTTACTGCCCAAGAGGCTCCCCTCAGTCTGTGCACCCCCAAATGACCCTTGCCCCACGTGTTGGGTCTGGTTTGGGTTTGTGCATCTGCTTTTGCTTGGTGAGTTCTGTGACCTCTGGCCACTCAAGGACAGACTTGTTTAACTTAGAGGCACAGACACTCCGGTGACACGGGTCAGTTGTGTGGTGACAGGAGCTCGTCCCTTCCCTCCAAGGACACGAGCAAGGTGGCTTGGATGGGGTGCCCAGCCTTGACTGTCCCCAGCTGCTGGGTCCGAGAGGAGGGCCTTCCGGGCCCTGGGCCTTTCATCTTCCCCCGGCCTTGGTACCTGGTCAGGTGGGTTTGTCTTCTGGCGGCAGGGCCTGTTTGTCCCAGTGTGAGTGGGAAGAAGTGGTCAGGGTGTGTCCTCTAGAAGAGTCTGGGCTTCTTAACTCCCCACATGGAGTTGCTGGGACCTCTCTGAGCTGCCAGCCCCCGCTCCTGGCTTCTTCTAGACTTCTTGGGCCCACTGATTGTTGACTTGGTGCATTCCTATCTGATGGGCCCACAGCATGTGGGGTGTGGTTGATGTGTGTATGTGCACAAATGACGTGTTTCCACTCTCCAGCCCCTTCGGGGGTTTTCTATGCACCCACTGTGCCTTAACCTTCTCTGTCTGCTCTTTGGGACAAGGCAGTATTTTACTAAATGTCCTTGAATGTTCTTTTGTATCATGTGACTTATTAATAAAATCCGTTTCAGATAAACTTTGGCATGGTTTATACTAAATAACCAAGGGTGTGCTACTCCCAGCTGCTGAGGATTTCACTATAGGTGAGTGTGTATGTGGGTGTATGCACGCACACACACACACATGCCAGTCCTGGGGCTTGAACTCAGTCCTGGGTGCTGTCCATGAACTCTCTTTGCTCAATGCTAGTGCTGTACCACCTGAGCCACAGCTTCATTTCCAGCTTTTTGGGGTCATTAATTGAAGATAAGAATCTCACAGTTTACTGCCTGGGCTAGCTGTGAACCATAGTCCTCAGCTTTCTGAACAGCTGAGATTCCAGGGATAAGCCAGTGGTACCCAGCTTTATAGTGTGTGTGTGTGTGTGTGGTGTGTGTGTGTGTGTGTGTGTGTGTGTGTGTGTTGAACTGCACTCCTCAGACCTCAGCCCCTTGATTAGCTAGGATTGGAGCCGTGAGCCATCTGTACGCACTCCGCAACTTTATCAACATGTGGCCTCCAGAGCGCACCCTGCTGGCCCTAGTGAAGTGCTGCAGCCCTAGCGATGCGACCCAGCAGAGCTCTTGGCCCTGCAGGAAATGGTGGTAGCAACCATGACATGGGCTATTGGCTGTGGTCCAAAGGCTGTGTTGGGGCTCACAATGAACATTTCCAGAGATGTAGGGAGTGGCCACGTGTCCCCATGGCGATCTGTGACAGTCCCACTGTCTCTCCTGTCCCCTCCCCATATTGTTCTAAGACAAATACTCTGCTCTTTGTCCTCCCTGCCCTGCTGTCCTGTTGGACCAAGTCTTGTCATCACTCCCTAAACTGGCTTGTGCTGGCCGTCTGGCACTGGGGCATATGGCCAGGGCAGAGGAGCCCTGGCTGACTTGGGGCCCCTCACAGAGCCATGGAGGTGCTTCAGCTCCAGCCATGCTCTGGATCTCTGCTTCCAGGCTGCCCAGGACTCTACCTGTTTCATGGCGTAAAGCACAGAATATGTCTCCACACACTACACCATTGCAATTGTCAGTAGGTGCCCCCCAAAGGACCTTGGGGCTCTCTCTGCCTACCGACTGCTGAATCCTGGCCAGGAGGACCTTCAGAAACACCTAGTTCTTTCTCCTTGTCCAAAACGATCTCTTATGTCAGAGAAAGCAAGCAAGCTGCCCAACTTTACCCAGAATGTGTGTACAGGGTTGGGCTTCAGTTTGTGGTTTTCTTGTTGTTTTGTTAGTCATGGGGCTTGACCTTAGGGCCTCAGCACTGTCCCTGAGCTCTTTTGCTCAAGGCTAGTGCTCTACCATTTTGAACCACAGCTCAACTTCTGGTTTTCTAGTGGTTAATTGGCGATACGAGTCCCGTGGTTTTTCCTGCCCTTGAGCTGCAGTCCTCAGATCTTAGCCTCCTCAGTAGCCAAGACTACAAGTGTGAGTACCCAGCACCCAGCAAGGTTTTTTTTTTTTGTTTGTTTGTTTTTTTTTGTCAGTCGTGGGGCCTGAATTCTGGGCCTGGGCACTATACTTCAGCTCTTCAGCTCAAGGCTAGTGCTCTACCACTTAAGCCACAGCACCACTTCCGGCTTTTTTCTTTTTTTTTTGGTCGGTCGTGGGGCTTGAACTCTGGGCCTGGGCGCTGTCCTTCAGCTCTTCAGCTCAAGGCGAGCGCTCTACCACTTGAGCTACAGCGCCACTTCCGGTTTTCTGGTGGTTTATTGGAGATAGGAGTCTCACAGTCTTTCCTGCCCGGGCTGGCTTTGAACCGCGATCCTCAGATCTCAACCTCCTGAGTAGCTAGGATTACAGGCGTGAGCCACCAGCGCCCGGCTCCGGCTTTTTTCTTTTTGTTTATGTGGTGCTGAGGAATCAAACCCAGGGCCTCATGAATGCAAGGCAAGCACTCTACCACTGGGCCACCTTCCCAGCCCAAGGTTTTGGTTTTAAGCAGCAGACAAACTGGAGCTGTAGGGGTCAGTATACCCAATGGTGTGCAAGTGAAGATCCAACTGCCACCAGCAGGGGGCAGCTGAACCCATCCTTTCCTACTCCTCTGCCGCAGCGCCATGATCCAGTACCACCCACCCAGCAGTGCTGGGCAGTGTTGCTTCCTATCATTTAGGTCTTTTATGGAGGATTCTCAACCTCCCAGAGCACCACATTTAGGGGTTCCCCAACGTGGTAATGGGACTTGAGCATTCTAGAAACAGATTCTGCTTTGGAATTTTTTTTTTCTGTAAAATAACTTTTTCAAAATACTTAAAGCTACAGCCTCCTGTTCTTGGTATCCACAACAAGACCTGCTGTCTCTGGACCCCACTGATGGGCCTCTCCTCGCTTGGCAGCTGCCCTCAGCCAGTCCATCAGCACATCTCATCCCCAACACATACCGAGTCCTCTAGCTTCTTGTTATTTGTGTTTATTTATTTTGTGCTGGTCCTGGGGCTTAAACTCTGGGCCTGGGCTCTGTCTTTGGAGCCCAAAGCTAGCGTTCTACCGCTTGAGCCCCAGTTCTACTTCTTGCTTTTTGGTATTTAATCGGAGATAAGTGTCTGGTGGACTTTCTTGCCCTGGCTGGTTTTGTTCCTTGATACTCAGATCTCAGCTTCCTGAGTTAGGAGCTAGGATTCTAGACATGAGGACCAGCACCTAGCTTCATGGTTTATTTTGAGATAGGGTCCTGCTATGTACATACCCTAGGTGGGCCTCCGACTCCTCCTGCCTCTTCATATATCACCAGCAGCAGCAGCAGCTGTTTAAACTGCTCTCCTTTCTTTTTCTTTCCCTTTACCGATGAGTGGTGTGTGTGTGTGTGTGTGTGTGTGTGTGTGTGTGTGTGTGTATACAACTGCTCTAAAACTGAACCACAACTCCAGCTCGTTTTAAACTGTTGGAAAAATATAATTTCACCAGGGAGAATAACAGCTCCCAGCTTCCTGAAAGAGTTCTTGTGTTCCCCGTCATCTGAACCTTGGTACTTGGTATTTTGGGGTGGATGACAATGACCACTGACACCCTCAGCCAATGAACACAGTCGGCAGCCTCCAGAGTTTCCACTCCACCCACCTGGCTCCATGCGTGGATTTGCACAGTTGGTGCTAAGGCAGACCAAAGAAGCCTTGGAGCTGTGGACTCTCTGTAGGGGCAGGCGAGTCCTAGGCTGAGGACATTCCTGTAGCCATGTCCAGAAACAGGGCCTCTAGCAATGTGTGGGGATGGGGGCGGGGTCCTGATGGTTCTGGAGAAGAGAGAAGAATGAGGGCTTTGCAAACCTAGACAGGGAGATGGCAGGATGTCAGCACTGGGCCAGAAGAGCTGCCAGGATTCCCTGCAGGTGAGCCTGAGGCTGAGAATCAGGGTACAGGCCAGTGTGTGGGCTCTAAGACCTTGGGAATTGGTAGTATGGAGGGAGAAGTCTGGGGGCTGCTGGAGTCACAGGGCAGTGGAGGCAGGTGAGCCCCCCACTCCTTCACTCTTCCCTCTACTGGCCAAGGCCTACGGCAGAGAGAGGCCCTGCAATGGGATCTGTGGCTGCAGCAGATGGAGGTGACCCTGGAGCCAGAGGAGGGGTTAGGAGGAAGAGGACAGGGAGGTTCTCCAGTAGGAGGCCGGCTTGGGCAAGGTCCAAGAAGGGGGGTGATTAGGACTGGGGCCCAAGGACCTGCGACATAGGGCAGTGGGCCAGGTGTTCCCTGGGGGAAGGGGGACAGGAGTGGAGAGGTTCGTGTCAGGAAACTGAGTTCTGGCACATCTGGGTCTGGGATAAATCAAGGTTGCTTCCTGCGGCAGCCCCCAGGGGAATCTGCCCAGACTTTGGTCAGGGAAGACAAGGCATCTCCATCAAAGGCCTGAGCAGCCTCAGGACTGAGGACCCCCCCCCCACCTTTTGTCTCCGGTAGGCTAAGCAAAAAGAGCATAAAGGAAGATGGAAAAGAAAAGATGGAAGGTTGGCTCTCAAAGCTGTGAGGACAAAAGCAACACACACACACACACACACACACACACACACACACACACACTCCAACGTTCTCTCTTCCCTGAACAAAAGGGCAGCTGCTGAACAAGCTGGACTGGGAGGGGCTCACCGAGAGGCGGCCTTAGAGCTGAGGGGAGGGGAGGCCAGGAAGAGACTGGGGTGCAGGGAGTGCCAGGAAAAGCAATCAACATCAGAATTATGAAATGTCCGGCCCAGGAGGGGCCCCAGGATGGGGGTGGGGGGCAAGCTGAGGGAAGCTCAAAAGCTTGTCCTAGTAACTGGAGAGGTGGGGGCAAGGCAGGCTTGAGCCTGCGGGAAGAGGCGGTTGGGGCTGGGGTGGAGTGGGGTGCGGGAAGCCTGGTTGTTTATCTGCTTTGGCTCTCGCCACGCCCAGCAACTGGAGCTGGAGGCGAGGCGGCGAGGCGCCCAGCCAGCCGGCAGTGACGGTGCAGTTTCTCAGATGGCGGCTACCGCTTCAGGGCTTCAAGGGCACCACAAGAAGCCCACGGTGGCCTAAGAAATCATGGCTCCCGAAGTGGACTTTTGGAGTGGGGGGGGCTCAATTTCTGGCACATTCTCAAGTGATAGCAATAATGATGTCGTCTAATATTTTTTTAAACCAATTTTTATTAACATGTATTACTTGTACAAGGGTAAGGGGCTCATACGATGTTTCCATATTGGAGCCAAACACCCCACACCCCCTTTGTAGGAAAACCTCAGTAGGTTTCATGGTTTGTTCACCCTCTCTGATCACCGCCCAGCAGTCTGCTTTATTTTTTTTGCCATTTTTTTTTTATTTGTATTAATTGAACCAAGGTGTTTTTCACGATGGCATTTAAACAGAATAGTGCTTTTGCTTCTCTAGTGTGGGTCTGGGGCATTTAAACAGAATAGTGCTTTTGCTTCTCTAGTGTGGGTCTTGACCTTGGGGTAACCTGGTACACTTTTCCTGGGGTGCCAATGTGTGTTTGGAAACAAAGCTGCCTTCTGAACAAGATGAAGAGGCCAGTCGCACCACGGATTCTTGCCTCAGTGGCTGGAACAAAGGACACTGGGGAGAGAGGACCCTGACTATGGAATCAAAGTCAGGGGGGAGGGGGGAGGCGGCGGCCTTCTGGTCCTTTCCCCAGCGGGCGACTAGTGAAGGAGTGAGCCAGCCCCGCCCTGGACCCAAGGTTCTGTTTACCACAGTTGTCTGGAACAGCTTGTTTTGATCTGCAGATATTTGCTGACGCACTAGCCGCCCGGCCTTCTTCCTCAGTTGGGCTGGAGGTTATTTTTTGCCTTATTTGAAGCAGCCACTGGGATCAGGGTGAATCGGGCACAGCCCTGCCTTCAAAGTGGGACAGAACAGCCCTGTGTGGTTTTAACCTCCCCATAAATACATTCCTTTGCTGGAGAAAACCAGGAGAGTTTCCAAACACAGACATTTATTCTTGAGTACTGAGGGGTGGACGGGCAGCTTGTGATACAAGGACACAAAGGCCTTTATTAGGTTGTGATGGAGTAGCCTGTGCTTTATAGAATGCTACCCTGTAGTGACAACCATTCCAACAGCTATTCCTATCAGTGCTGGTACCAGGGGTTTGAACTCAGGGATTGGGTCCTGTCCCTAAGCTTTGATGCCCAAAACTAGTGCTCTAGCACTCTATCCACAGCTCCACTTACTGTTTTTTTGCTGCTTAACTGGAGAGAGTCTCACAGATTTTCCTGTCCAGGAAAATCATCCAACCACAGTCCTCAGATACCAGTCTCCTGCATAGCTAAGATTGATTAAAGGTGTGAGCCACCAGCACCTGGCTTCAACTTCTACTTTTTGGAAAAATAAAATCTAAGTTTGTTTCTGGGATGTAGGACTATTACATGTGAATGAGGAAGATCAGTGTAGCGTGGGCTCAGGAAGCAAGGAACAGTAACAGCTACGCATCTGCATCTCTCTGACATTATATCAAACAAAGGGCCGACTCCACAGCAAGAAAAATTGCTTGGTTTCTGACCCAGGCCTCTGAACTTTCTAGAACATTCTGAGAGGCAAGTCCCTCTTTCCTCACTGTCTTTGCTGGCCAAGTCACCCCACCCCTGCCAGGATAAGACAGGGTAGATTGGTAGATGGGGGGGGGCTGGGGGGAGGAATAAGAAGTAAGAATTTTAGGTGACAGAACCTTAAGCAGCCACCAGTGAACAAGGCCAGGCTTGACAAGTAGTCACAAGAGAGTCAGCAGATTTTTTTTGGTGTGGGGGGGGAGGGTGTGAGTCCATCCCTGCCTGCTGATGCCACCTTGCAGAGGCAAAGGAAAATCCCTTCCCCCACATGCCCCCCCTTCCTGGTTGCCCAGGGAGCTTGTTGTCCCTAGGAGGTTTTGTTTAGGGTGTGGAAGGTCAGCCAGGAAGGAGACTTGTTGTGCCAGACTACTGTTCCGGTAACTTGGCCGGTAACTTGGCCGGTACAGTCCCATGGTAGGTGGACACAGGTCTCATGGGGGTCTCAGGCTGCATCTTCTCCTCCTGTCGCCACACAGGACGGACCCCTCACTAAACACTCAGGTCTTGCTCAGCCTTGAGTGAGGACACAAGAATGTAATGTTTATTTGGACCCTCCCGGAGCGACCAGCCCGGCTGGCACCCTGAGTAGTCATGAAACCATTTCCCGAGGCTCGCCACAAGCCACAAGCCACCTCCAGACAACTTTGGCTTAAAATTGTTTTTTTAATTTAAGTTCACTCTTGGCCGGCCTCGGGTAGCTCAGCACCGCAATCCTCCCTACTTGGGAGGCTGAGACGGAGGATGGCTGTTCAAAGCCAGCCTAGGCGGAGGCCAGCAGTGCAGCTGTGGCTCAAAGGAGTACAGGGCCAACCCTGGACTAGAAAGGCTCAGAGCCAGTGCCCACACCCTGAGTTCGAGTCCCAGCACTGGTATTAAATAATGCTAATATTTCTCTCCCACCGTGCGCTGACAAGGACAAGGGGCTGAAAGACGGAATCCACCGGCTCGTGTCCCCGAAATCACATCAAATCCTTGTGTCTTATCCCAGACACAGCCTTATCTGTTGTTGCTTCCAATCCCAGTTCCCAGGGGGACAAACAGGACCCCCCCTCCCCCGACCGTCCCCTGGCTCACGCACAGCCACTGGCCGAATAACCGCAGAACTGTCACAGGCTTACTTTAAAACAAAAACAAAACGACAAAGCCAGAGTGAAGGTCCCGGGCTGGCCTGACCCCTGGAGCCCCGCCCCGCCCCCACCCCGGCCCGCGCGCCCGGGCGCTGACGTCACCCGCGGAGCACGAGGCGGCGCCGCCCTGAGTCACGCGCGCGCCCCGCCCCCGCCCCGCCGCCCCCGCCCCGCCGCCCCCGCAGTGATGCGCCGCCGCAGAGATCCCTCCGCCGCCGCCTGGAATTTTCCAGACGTTGCGCCGGCCCTTCTTTCGGATCTCGGTGCGGAACCCGGTGACCTGAGATGACTCTGACAGTTGCCCGGATTCATTCCTGACCCCACCCTGCCCCTGGGCCCCGCACCCCGGCTTTCCGTCCAGGGGCCGTGCCCCGCCCCCACGTGCGCCCCGTGGCACCTGGGGGTCTGTCCTCGGCACCCCCCTCCCCGAAACCCCGCCGGGGACGGGAGGGGAGGGAGCGGCCCGCGGCGGGGGCGGGCAGGCCCAAAGTTCGCGGGGCGGCCCGCCCTCGGGCCGGGCCGGGCCGGGGAGGGACTTTTTTCCCCCCTAGTGTCGTGGAGGAGTCGCCCCGTGGAGGAAGGTCCTGGTGACGCGACCCGGGGCTATAAAAGCCGAAGTGGTGGCCCGCCGGGGCCCAGTTAGCCACAGGCAGGGCCGGCGTCCCCGCCGGGCCGGCGGTGGGGCGGAAGGGGGGAAAGACAGAGTTAGGCGAGGCCGGTGGGGACGTGGGCAGCAGGGGGCTGGGGAGGACAGGGGCGGGGGATGGCGACGAGGACGGCGGCCTGCAGCCCTCGGGCCAGGCTGTGCCTTCTGCCTGCTGGACCGAGGGCACCTGACCGCCCGGGCGGGGGTGGGGGCCTCACTGGGCCCCGAGTCCTGGCATTGGGGATCAGGAGGAAAGCAGACAGGCGGGAAAAACTGGAGGCAGGTGGGGTTGGGCCGTGGAGGCCCTGGAGACGAGCTTGCCCGGCCGTGGGTGCCGCTGGGCACGGAGGGGGCTGACTCTGAACTTGGCAATGCCAGCATCCCCTTTTTTTTTCCAGACAAAGGGGATGAGGCCTGGTCTTGTGGAGACTGGACTTAGCTTCGCCGGGCTGACCGCTCTGGCCCAGGGTGGTATGTAATTTGGGTCTCAGCCTGGAGGAGTCCAGGGCTGATTGTGAGTGAAGGCCGGGGTCGGAGGTGAGGGGTGGCCTGAGGAGCGGTTTCCTCACCGGCACTGGTGTGGCGCCTCGTGGCATCAGGCCTGGGGCAGCAGAGGCAGGATGTTGTGTCTGGGGCAACATTGACCAACGCTTTATTTTCTAGGTGTCAGTTCCCCACCCTGGACTTTGCCTAGATTTGGTGCTAACCTCTCCTGTGAGCTCACTTTGCCCTCTCTCCTCCCTCTTAACTCTGAGGTTATCCATCCCTTAAAACCTTTCTGGTCATCTGGTAAGCTTGGGGAAGTCAGGAGTCGTTGGAGGCGGTATTGGTATTGGTAACGGAGTCGTGAAGGAAACGCCCTGGCTGAGTGGGCTTGGGGGTGGGGTGGGGTTGCTTTGGCTGAGGGTGGAAACTGAACCTTGCCACTCTTGGATGGGCTTCTACAGCAGTGGTTTCCACCGGAGGTCACCGGCCGTGGTTTGTTACTGTAGTGTTCATCATGGCGAACAGATGGCACCCGGAGAAATGGAGCCCTCCCCCCCTGCAGGTGTGCGTCGTAGCTGTGCAGGAGGGGAGGCCTGGAGGATGCAGCCCGCTTAAATTGACGCCTGCAGATTGAATTCCAGAGTCTTAGGAGGAGGAGGTGCTCCAGTGCCAAGTGTGCAGCTAAGCCTGGCTCAGGAAGCCCTGTATTCAGGCAGCCACCAGCCATTTTAAGTTCATGAGCTTTGCGGAGGGGGTGGGGGGGGATGGTGGTGGAAGGGAGGCAATCCAAAAAGGCCAAAGCAGATACATCCGCTTCTGAGGGGCCATCAGCTTTGAATGAATGTTCTGGGAGCACCATTCTCCAGGCGCAGGAATGGCAGCTGGCATCCCCTTCTTTCCTGGGGAAGAGAGGTTTTCACATGCTGCATCTTCTGTATTGAGCATCCAGTCATTCTAGTTTTGTGCTCCAACTTTGCTTCGAGAAGATTCTTAAGCAGTAGAACAGTGTAAACGTTGATGCCACAGCGCAGAAAGACACGTCCTGTAGAGACAGTTGCATATGGAGCCCAGAGGGACCTCACCACGTGCCTGTGTTTTGGCTGGAGAAATTCTTAATGTGCCTATAGAACTTTTGGGTGGTGGGGAAAGCTGTTCAATTTTAAATGCCTCAGGCAGAGGGAACTTTATTAAACATTGTCAAATGGGGGGGTGGTGCGGGGTGTCATGTTGTGCTAAATTATTATTTTTTGTTGGTTGTGGGGCTTGAACTCGGGCCTGCGCACTGTCCCTGAGCTCTTCGGCTCAAGGCAAGCTCACTACAAATTGAGCCACGGCGTCACTCCAGTTTTCTGGTGGTTTATTGGAGATAAGAATCTCATGGACATTTTCTACTCAGGCTGCTTTGAGTCACGATCCTCAGATCTCAGCCTCCTGAGTAGCTAGGATTACAGGCATGAGCCACCAGTGCCCAGAATGTGCTAAATTCTGGGGTGGTGCTATCTGGTCATTCTCATTCTATATGGGTGGTGGCAAGTCTCATCTAGAGTGCTGAAGGTATTGCACATTGCTAAGATGGGAATGATAGGTGGGCTGATAACCCACCCTTGGGAATTTGGTCTGAGTGTGCTAGGCAAGTGCTCTGCCACTGAGCTACAACACCACTAGCTCAGCGTTTATGTTCTTGCTACATTTTCTTTATTCAGGAGGGCATGGGTTGCCTCATTCAGTTCTTACATTCTGCATTTTACTGGAATAAGTTTGAAGTTTTCTTGGTGATCCAATGGGGACCAGATGTTTGAGCTGTAGTAGGGTGAGGGCTCTTCTGGCAGTCATGTTTGGGGGTGGGGGGGTGAATGAAGTGGGGGAGAGAGGGTTGGTGGATTCAGCAATGGGGATGGGAGGTGGTGTGGTAATGAGTGGGTTGAAGGCTGGTTTGGGAATGTGGGTTGAAGGGAATTTTCTGGAGGGAAACAGTACATGGAGCCTGGGAAAAATGAAAATGATGGGAATGTGTTATGCTGAATTGCTGCATAGAAAACAATGAAAGTTGCTGGGAAGATTTCTAAAAATACTTCGAACATTTAAAGGAAAAAGGCAGAATTGTTCTGCTGTGTGCAGATTGGGAGACTGCAGGGTTGAACTGAGTCACAAGGTCCTACCTGCTATGCAGGTAGCCACATATGTTTACTGAAATTGGGGCAGAGGGAGTTCTCAGGAGCAGAATGCCTTGGAAAGATATTTAAATGCTTAATTTGTGGGGTTGTACAGTGTGCACTTGAATCATGAGATGAGCATTTCTGGGTTGTTAATTCGCGTTTTATCAAACTGATCAAATTCTGAACAAAGTGAAGATGGTTTCTAAAGGAATTTAAGATGCCTTGAACACATCTGCCCTTCTGTGGTCAATCAGTAATTATAACAGCAAAAGTTTTACTTACTTGCTAAACTGTTTTTCAAATGATAGTCATTGTAACAAAGAGAACCAAGAGGTTTTTTCCTGTGAAATTTGGTAACAATTTCTTCTCCTTTGCTAAGATGAGCATGAATAGTTGTATCTGTTTGTATGTTTGGTTTTTAAATGCTCTGGGAGTAGGAGGAAAATAGCAATCACAATCAGTTTAGCAAATCAAAAGGTAATACCAGTGCAGTGGTCTTTTAGAAATCATCTCTGCCCTTGATAACTTTTAAAAATCTGAAATCCTTAATAATTACCCTTGTGATTTTTCTGTCTTCTGGGTTCCTTTTTAATGCTTGTATATTGGTGTGGGAATTCAGTTCTTAACCAGTGATTTGGGAGTCATAGTTACTGCTCTGGAACATGAGTGTTAGTCATATTTGTATGGGGAAGTATTTTGGGCTATGCTATTGTGAAATGGAAGCTGGAAAAACAGGTGGCTGAAAAAAAATACTTGTAAGGCAAGAATTGTTGCTGGATCATGTACGTAATTACTAACCAAGTTTTCTTCCCCATTACAGCACAAATAAAGGTTCAAGTTCTAAACTCTTTAGAATCTGTTGTTCACTATGTTGCTTGCCCCTATCATTCTGCCTTTATAATGAAGTTTGGACCTATCATTGTATTGTATGTGGGCTTAGGCCAAGATTCATGGTTCACTAGAATCTAGACTAGCATCCACTAGACTTATTTATTCAGCTACAACTGATGGGTCCTGATGGAACCTGCAAACTGGTGTTGGGGAGGGGCCCTTCCCTGTTGGGAATTGGTAATAGTTGTTCAAAATGTGGTGCCATATGGCCAGTAAAGGGAAGTGTAGGTGGAGGAGTATGTTTGGTAATCTGGAACATTTCCTGCTAAGAGCTGGGCTTCGTTTTTTCTTGACTGAAGGCTTTGTTCTCTATTTAATGAAGGTTGTGTAAGGGTGGAGGTAAGTGGAGGGTTCAGAAGCCTGTAAACTGAGTCATTGGGAGGGGAGGGTTGAGTAACAACAGTGATTCATCCTGGTTGCTGAGAATGCGCGTGATTCTGTGGCTGCGTCATCCGTCACACGGTGTTCATGGTGTTATAGGAGACGATTCTGGATCCCAAATAGAAACTGTGAAAGCGGGTGGTGGTGGTGTGCAAGGACGTTGGGGGGAGACTGGGCTCCACTGCTGGCTGTTGTCCCAGCTCTCTGCTGAGTGTCTCCTCTGCTTCCTGGTCATTCCTTGGTGAGTCCTTCCTTATACACTGTAGTGACAGATGGCAAGAGGAAGGTAGCCACGTCGCCTGGCAAGCCTATCTGGACTCCTGGCACTGCCTGGGACAGAGGCCCGGCTTTGTGCAGGTCACCTGTCCTAGGGCCTGTCTCACCCAATCACTTGGCTTCTTACCCCTATTCTTTGTCTTTTGAGAACGTGTCTTGTTTCTTTATACAGTGATGATAAACTTGGCTTCCATCCTGAGGAAAGCTGGTGTAAACACCTATGTATATAGCAGTCTTTCCCAACAGCTGCTGGCAAAGGAATTTACCCACAGGGGTGTAGATGCTTGGTATCGGAAGTGGTTGTGGAATGGGACTTGTTAACAAGAGCAGAGATGAGATGACAGCTGAAGGCGAGGAAAGAACTCTTGTCCTTGTGGGAGCTTATTATGACAAGCATCGCTTAGCATCCTTACACCTGGGTCAAAATTCAGTCTTTGATTTGAGCAACCAAACGCTGTGGGTGCACCAATGGAGTTCATTACTGAACTTAGTTATCTTCTGCACACTTAAATAAGAACAACAAAAGTGGGATTTGAGAAAAAAGAATAGCCTGAGAACAGGTTGAGACCCCTCCAGGCTGGAAGACAACTTGATATAGCCTGAATTACAAAAAGGGATTGACAGTAACTTCCCCCACTTCCCAATGGCCTCCAGTTTACCTTGTGGACATGACTATTGAAGAACTGCAAAGATCTTAAGTGCTGGCTAACCTTATGTGTAGCTAAGTTTCTGGAGGAAACTCTGGCTCTGGTGTAGTACTTGTGGTTTGGTGCTGATATTGAAGGGAGAAATATTAAAATACTGTTTTTAAGTAGTTGTATGAGTTAGTCTTCAACAAATAACTTTATAATGCATCTTTTTTTTTTTTGGTCCATCATGGGGCTTGAACTCAAGGTCTGGGCACCGTCCCTGAGCTCTTTTGCTCAAGACTAGTACTCTACCACTTTGAACCACAGCTCAAACTACTACTGGTTTTCAGGTAGTCAGTTGGATATAAGAGTCTCATGGACTTTCCTGCCTAGGCTGGCTTCAAACTACGATCCTCAGATCTCAGCCTCCTGAGTAGCTAGGATTAGAGGCATGAGCCATCAGGGCCCAGCTTTTATACTGTATCTTGATCAATGGTTATCCCTTTCATCATTCTCCTGAATTACTCCCAATCCAATATTGTTTTGTTATTGTGTTCATACGTGCTTATTAAATACTTTGACCATTGCTCCTCGCCTGCCTTCTTTGAGCTAACTCCTTATTGGGTCTCGTGCATAAAAGGGTTTGCCATGAAGTTTGTAATAAGCAATTGGGGGTGATCCTCAGTAATCTCCCAGTAGCCAGCATAAATGGCATACTTCACGTCCTGATGGTTTTTGCTTTTCCTATACATCGGCTATGTATGCATTTTTTTTTTTTTTTGTGGTCGTGGGGCTTGAACTCTGGGCCTGGGCGCTGTCCCTCAGCTCTTCAGCTCAAGGCGAGCGCTCTACCACTTGAGCCGCTCTACCACTTGAGCTACAGCGCCACTTCCGGTTTTCTGGTGGTTTATTGGAGATAGGAGTCTCACGGTCTCTCCTGCCCGGGCTGGCTTTGAACTGCGATCCTCAGATCTCAGCCTCCTGAGTAGCTAGGATTACAGGCGTGAGCCACCAGTGCCCGGCTTATGTATGCATTTTTAAACACATAAATGATGTTCTTAAATTCTGTGTTGTGATTCTTTTTCCACTATATAGTGAATGCGTTATTTGAAGCATTTTTCGTGATGACATGAAGTTCCATTGCATGGTTGAATTGATTTAAACAGTCAAATTTAGAGGAACGTATGGGTTGTTCTATGGGTGGTTTTTCCTTTTAGGAATTTTAAAAAATAATTTTGTAGCTCATCTGATATTTCTTTGAGATATACAAATAGGTTTCTAGAAGAAATAACATGTCAGACTTGAAACATCAGGTTCATGTTGCTATGATGCTCTCCAAGGAGGGCAATTTCTAAATTGTCTTCTCACTAGTGAACAGAATGGGTTTGTTGATATTAAAAATCTTTCCTACTTGACAGGTGCAGCCTACATTCCCTGTGTGTGTCTTGCTTTGGCTGCTGGTGAAACTGAACATCTCGTGTTTGGTCATTGCAGTTTGTGATTTTTCCATTCTTGAGCGCCTAGTTTTATCCATTGGTTGTATTGTAAAAAGCTATTTACATACTAAGGATTTTAATTTCCTTTGCTATATTTGATGCAGATATTTTTCTGGATTGTAGAGTCTACAGTTTATTTTGTTTTAAAATCCTTGGACAAAATGTTTCTTTTCTTTTTCTTTTTTTGTCTGTCATGGGGCCTGAACTGTGGGCTTGGGTGCTATTCCTCAGCTCTTCAGCTCAAGGTTAGCACTCTACCACTTGAGCCACAGACCCACTTCTGGCTTTTTCTGCTTATGTGGTGCTAAGGAATTGAACCCAGGGCCTTGTGCATGCAAGGCAAGCACTCTGCCACTGACCCACCTTCTTAAATCAAG